TCTATCAGATTTGGCACTTCCTTCTCTTAGAGAGTGATAATTTCTCGGTTTGACTTACTGATGTATTTCAGTGGGGAAAAAAATAAACTCTCAAAATTATTGAATCTATGGAGGTCAATAGAGGATGCTTACCATCGGTAACTTCTCACTAGCAGAACTAGAATCTAAAAGGCATTTCCATCATAATGATGGAAACTTCCTAATGAGCCATTGACTTTGCATTATTTAAAAGTTGGAACAAAGCCAGATTGGAAACCATCTGCTTGCTGTAAGCTGTTGAAATATAAATATGCTGTTGGTATATTGTAATGGTTGAAAAATGGGTTTAACATTTTCAGTATCAGTATGAAATGATTCTATTACATACCTGAAGGAACGCTTAAGTACTGAGTTTGAGTAATAAACTTACAATGAACAAGTCCTGCTGCTTAGCTTTCCTCAAAGTTTAGGTGTACATTTTAATACATGTGGCCCTTTGCTGTAAAATGTGTGTAGCTTTTTTGCACTTTAAAAAGCTTTCTCTATCTGAAGGAGGCAATCTTCGGGTGCCCAACTCTTCACGTGTGAGCCTGGGCATTGCAATGAGTGTTAAGCAACAGGTTACTCAAGTTTGAAGGGCATCAAGGCCAAACCTGATCGGTTTTCATATGAGGTCATGTGCACAATTTCCACCAGGGTTTACTGGATACCAATCAATAATAATCCTTCCATTTGATAAAGCGCCTTATCAAGTTGTTAAGACGTCTCAAAGTGCTTCACAGGATATAAAGTGAATTGACTGTGTATTTTGTGCGTGGAGTGAGGCAGCTAATTGCACACAGCAGTGTCTCACAAATAGTCCGTGGATTGAGTAACCAATTTTTTTTGAGGGATTACTACCCCCGGAAAGTGATCTGCTAATCGGGTTCCTACTTACTCAAGGTAAACACAGGCGTGTGGAGGAAGGAAACATGCCTACATTTCGCCCTCCCTGGGAATTGAACCTGGGCCCTGATTATTAGAATTATAATTTTTAAAACTGATTTAAGTTTCAGTACAAAACTACACGATTTAACTTTCTTCCTCGCAAGTGCTCTAACCACTACACTATGGGACTCCGCCCTATGAGAATCAAGGGCAGGAATCCAGGCTGCAGTTTGGTTTCAGTATTTTAGTGGTACTGGGACGAGGTTAAATTCTAGCTCCCTGGCTGAAATCAGTGAATTCAGTAGAGGCCTAGAATCGAATGTTGTTATTTGCCATTTCCCTGGTGTGCCTCTGAGATTGCTAATTTAATGTAAATTTAGGAGAAGTTTGGTACTGTGGGCCCATACTCTAGGAATTTCAATTATATTGCCAAAACACATTTTGTGCAGTTCTATAACAGGCAACAGACAGGAATTCAGCAGTGAAAGTTTCAACACAGTTTCTTCCGTGTCGTGATCAGGTACTATAATACAATAATAATCCTATCATTTGATAGAGCGCCTTATAACGTCATTGAATATTCACAGAATATTTTGTAAAGTGTGATTGACTGTGGGCGAAACGCAGCAGCCAATTGTGCACATCAGTGTCCCACAAACAGTTGTGAATTGAGTGACCAATTTATTTATATTTTTTGGAGGGATTATTATCCCCGGAAAGTGATCTGCCAATCGACTAACAACCAGGTGACCATAAGCACGGTCGAAGGCAAAGGTCTTCGTTCGCGATCTAAAAGAGGGTAGGAGAGGGCAAGGCGGGTTAGTGTTAGAATGGCAAGTCTTTTGGCGAAGCACAATTCAGCTGCTTGTTCTTTTACTTGGAAAGCCCAGCAGACGAGGCATGGAATTGCTTTTCAATAATTATGGTGCAGTGTTGTCCTGAGTACTAATTGCCCTCAGCTTTTTGATCCTTGGACTAGGATTTCTCCAGTGGGATTTTGAAATTGAAACTTTATGAGTAGCTAGTTTCCTTTGAGTTGGGGAGGAGAATTTGACTAATATAACTAAGTGCACAATTTTGGAACAATATCCTGGATTATATTCCTACTCGTTACACTTCACAGCTGCTCTGCACTTGCGCAGTACAAGATAGCATTCCCATTCCACACACCTGTTCCAAATCCTTCTCTAATTCACCAGCACCTATGTTGAAATGTGCTGCATTTGGGGCCTGCCCAATTGTAATATAGAAGTGGCAGTAAGCATTGATAAAATAGGAATTGTCAGTAGGTATGTGACGTACCATTGTCAAGCGTTTGCCAATGAAGTAACCAGGAATGTAGAAGGGATCTTGAAATGCATGAGAAACCTAATCCTATTAATAATAATAATAATAATAATAATAATAATCCTTGCACTTGACATAGCGCTTTTCACGTCTTCTCGACGTCTCAAAACATTTCACAGAATATACTGTAAAGTGAATTGACCATTTATTTGTGGGCGAATTTCCAGCAAATAGCAGGGATATAATAATAATAATATAATAATAATAATCCTTACATTTGATATAGAGCCTTATCACGTCTTCGAGACTTCTCAAAGCGCTTCACAGGATATACTGTAAAGTTAATTAACTGAGTATTTTGTGGGCAAAATATGCAATTTTCGACTCGCTGTAGCTAGCCAAGCGTCCCTGCTATTTGCTGGAATGGAATTAGTTTGTTCTAGCAAATAACAAACTTATTATCAGTCATCTTTAAGGGGCGCCTGTTGATGATAGCTGGCTGCTTGCCTTTCATAGGTTGTCACATCTTCAGGAAGCAGCCAGTAAAGGCTCATCTCCTCAGCACAGTTTTTTTTCAGTTGAGTTTCCTGAGGAAATCCCGGTTATAACCACCCTTTTCAACTTTTAAGGTCATGGCTCAAACTGTTGTTGGTCCATTCTGGTACAGCAGGTCTCAAAATCGTGGTTTAAGGTTGTGTCAGCAATCTGATGGCATTCATTAACCTGTAGTTTCAAAGTGCAAGTTTTTTTAATAGTTATTTCAGTTGAACTGTTTAAGCCTCTGTTGCTTCGTATTTCAGCTGGTGCATCTCAAGGCATATAATATGTAAAATATAATATATAATATAAAACATGCTTACAAAACATATTTACAAAACGCGGCAGCCAATTGCGCACAGCAGTGTCCAACAAACAGTCGTCGATTGAGTGACCAAATTATTATTATTTTTTGATGGGATTATTACCCCCAGAAAACGATTCGCCATTCGACTAACAACTAGGTTAATACTTACTGCTAGATAAACAAAGAGTTACAGCTTTGCTTGGCCAAAACTTGTGCTCCAGAGAATGAGACCAAAAACTTCACTATCTCTGTCTTTTTTGCCCCTTTCCCCTTTCTCTCCAACTCCTTAAAAAGGTCATTGCAAAGTTGGCTTGAAGGAGCTGGGTTATGATGGCTCTAAATGAAAACCATGAAATTTGGAGGCATCGAACTCTGCTCCCTCCTGGAGATTTCTCTCTCCTGCTTCCTGCTGCTCATTTTCATGGCATGATTTTGACACCATGACCAAATTGCATTTAGTTTGTATTCTTCATGTAGTATAATGTCTTGGGAGTATTTCACAGGGTTGGTGTCGGGCACCGAGCAAGGGGGAGGGGATTATCGGCACAATCCAAGAAGTAGTATTGTACGTGGGATTTAAAGACTGATAAAGAGGGGTGAGATGGAGGAGAAGAGCGAGAGAGTTCCAAAAGTTGGGGGGTGTAGTTGCTGAAGGTTGGCCATTGGTAGTGAGGCGGGAGACCCTGACCAGGTCCAAATATGTTGGGTGGGGTGGGGGAGGGGGAGAAGAGTAGGCATGGAAGATCACAGATTGCAGAGGGGAGGTGCTAGGGAGTGAAGGGATGTACAGCTGAGGGTGAGGACCTTGAAATCGATCTATTGGGAGACTGGGAGGAAGTGGTGCCTGGCGAGGACTAGAATGAAGGACATGCAGGGTTGGGTGTGGATGAGGATGTGGGCAATACAGTTTTAAATGAATTGGAGCTTGTGGATTGAGGAATTGAGGAGACTAGCGAGGATTACATGTTGAGCACCAGGTCATTAACTGAAGTGGATGAGACAGGAATATTCAGAGGATTACTGTTTGACCTTCCTTGTCTTTTCTTCCTGGGCTATTGGAGAAACCTCTGGAAAATATTTAGTTATTTTAACAACTACTACTAATTACATTTGTATAACACTTTCATGTCGGGAGGACATCCCAAGGCACTGGACAGTTAAGGATGTGAACCCGAGCCGGGCAGATTGGGATCAGGAGGGGTAGAAGGCGGGGAGGGTGGGGGTAGAAGGGTGACCAAAAGTGTAGTCGAAGTGGAGGGTCTTGAGACAGGTCTTGAAGGAGGCAAGGGAGAGGCGAAGGGACTGCGAGGTGGAGTTCCAAAGTGTAAAGACCAATGGTGGGTTGGGCAGGGGACATGGAACATGGACCCAGACAGGTCAGTATGCAGTTAGCAGGTCACAGAGGTAGGGAGGAGCAAGGCTGTGGAGGAAGGCCTTCGAAGGCGAGGACGATAATTTTGAACACTATCCTCTTGGGAATAGGGAGCCAGTGGAGCTGGACGAGGGTGGGGGTGATAGGGTCATGGATCCTGGTGCGAGAGAGGACATGAGCTGTAGAGTTCTGAATAATCTGCAGCTTGTGGAGGCAAGAGTTGGCAAGATTGACGAGCAGAGTTAGCATAATTGAGCCTGGATTTCTAGTTGGTATGTAAAGAAAGTAAAGGCAATTTTGAATGATTCTCGTCAGCCTTCAACCTCAACAGCTCTGTTTGCAAAGACTTCTGAAATGTTTTGTATTGAGAAAAGGGAATGAATGGTGTAGTTTCAGTTTAGATTGTTCTGTCCGGAGAATTTTCTTGGTTTGTTTGATGTACTGGAGGTCTGTGCCTAAATATTTTTTAAAAAGTTCCATTGGTCTATTCAAACGTAGCTTTAGCCCATTGTCTGTGATATTTTGTTTTGGGGGTATTTCTGTACATGAATTAGGAATGGATTATTAATATCCTGTTCTGTCTTCCATCAGATCGCTCAGTTAAAGCTAGTGTCCCCTGGTACAGTAATTGGAAAGAGACTTTGACGCAGCTGAGTTCGTCCAAGTTCCATTCAGGTATTTTATTCAGTTGGTCTGGGGTTTTTCACCAGTTTCTCTTCACTATCTTGCTATGGATGTACAGTTTTCCCCATAACCTTCAGTACCTCGATTTTTGTGTGTGTGTGTTGTTGTGGTGGTAATCTAGTTTACTGTGCCCTCATTAGGGTTAATTGTGGAGTGCTGTAGTGTGTTGGTTAGAACACTCCCCTTGCAAGCGAGAGGACCCGGGTTTGATTCCCTTAAGCAAGTTTCCTTACTCCATCCACATGCTTCTGTTTACCGAGCAGTAAGTAGGAACCCAGTTGTTAAGTCGATTGACGCATTGCTTTTCCGGGGGTAATTATCCCTTCAAATTTTTTTTAAAAATTAATAATTTGGTCATTCTATCCATGACTCTTTGTGGGACGCTGCTGTGCGCAATTGGCTGCCACGTTTCACCCATACAATACACAGTCAAGTCCTGTGAAACGCTTTGAGACGTCTCATAGATGTGGTAAGGCGCTACGTCAAATGCAAGGATTATTATCGTCGTCGTGTGACGTGCATTTCTTGTGGTGACCTTGGAAAGAATTGTTATAATGTGTTGTTATGGAGTCGCAAGCCAAACCGGACATTAAGTAAAAATTCCTGCTGCAATACGCTTTCTGTACGCTGTGCGGGTGCGCTGGCATTTCTACGCTGCAAAATAGCCAACAGCTGCGGCTGTCACGTGGCATTTGACCTCATTTCCTTTACGTGTTCGCTATGCCCAAGCACTTCCTGCAGTTATACGCATCGTGCACATAGTGATGATGGCGTTGTCTTGACAACTCAGAAATCAGCCATTTTTAGCGCAAAGATATTGGTCGATTCACAAGTCAAAGCCCAACCACATGGCCCCGGCTTTCCAGGGTTTCTGCATAACTTAAAATCACAAATCTTTGGCAAGGGACTTGTAAAGCCAAATCCTTATGGAGGTACTGTGTCAACGAATAGAATTCATAATGCTGATTTTCCGTCTTTTTTGCTGTTATTTTTAAGAGTTTGTAGCCTTATTTTGTGCTGTGGAAACTCTGCTCGCTTCATTTGAACTCGTTTGTTTATCTGACTAAGTTGACTAGTTAGTTTTTTTGATATCTAAGTAGAACTGGGTTCAATTCTTCCTATTTCACACAGTTACATCGGATGATACAATATGGAAATGGTCACTCAGCCCAACTAATCTGTGTTTATACTCCATGTGTCTCCCACCCCCCATCCCTCTTATTCTCCTCTTCTACATATCAGTCTGTGTCCTTCTCTCTCATGTGTGTATCAGGGTCCCCCTGAATACATTGAGGCTTTTTGCTTCGACCACGACTTCCGGCAGTTCGTTCCACATTCTTGCCTCCCTCAGCGGGAAGTTCCTCCTTTACTCCGTATAATATCCACTAGCTTCGCTAGCCCTCTTGCAGTTATGCTCGCTAACAAGTGGAAAATTAGGAGGCAGTTTTTCACACAAACGGTAATGGAAACTGGAACTCTCCGCCGTTCAAATTTTCAAAACTGAGGTGGATAGATTTTTGTTAGGTAAGGGTATCAATGGATATGGGGCAAAGACAGGTAACTGGAGTTGAGGTACAGATCAGCTACAATCTGATAGATATGGCGGAAAGGCTCTAGGAGCTGAATGACCTCCTGTTTCTGTGTTCCTAAGAAAAATGCTTATTTTTCCAATGAAAAATGTAAGTGCTGTACAAGAAAATGTTGAAAATGCTAAACTTTAAAACCAGCCAGCAAACAGCTGGAGTAATTCTGTTGTGTGGCTCCAGTGTTTTACATATTGTTGTGGTCATGTGTTTGGTTTTCACTACATTTGATGAATCTGATAAGAGTTTGTGATAGAAGCTTGATACCAATCACCAGGTTAGAAGTCCTGACAGCTACTTTAACATAAAATGTAGGAGTTGGCCATTCGGCCCTTCGAGCCTGCCCCGCCATTCAATCATGGCTGATCTTCTAATCTAACTCCAGCTAATACCATAACCCTGCCTTATCCCCATATCCCTTAATCCCTTTTGCAATAAGAAATATATCTATCTTAGTCTCTATCTCAGCTTTGGTGTCTCTAGGCGAGGGAGGGGTGAAGTGAGGGAAGAATGAGGTCATTCAATTCCTGATTCTGTGCGGTGATGTCTGCTGGAAATATGTATTTGTGGATTTTTGTTTTGGACAGCTGGGTGTCTGACACATGTGGAAAACCATTACCATGTTTGAGTATCCAGACGAAGCTGCGAGCTCCATGCATCTCACTTACACGTGGAAAGTCCATTTATTGGAATAGAATACTCACTCTCTCCCAGGATGGATGCAACCTGCTTACCTAATTACAGAGAGTCTTAGGTGCAGCTTGGAAAGAACCAAGACTTGGGGACCCCAGAGTGTACGTTGGGATACTGTTTAACTATCTAAAATCGCACAGATGGTAGGCTTGATTCTGACACGCCGTTGCCAATTTGGCAATGTGGTCTGGTTGCCAAACATGTCACCTTGGAGCCAGTTCATTTCCAAGGAGAGCTCCTCCCCACCGGGATATAGTCACTAGTTGGTCATTTGACATCCGACAAATACAGATTTGAGCCCACACTAGATAGATGGTACCAGGTATGCAGGTACCAGGACCTCCCTGCAAGCTTCCCAGTGGGCAACGCGGCTTAGCATGAAATGTGTCAGAGCATTTCCACTGTCTTCCTGTCCGTAGCTCATACACACATCCTTCCCATTGAGCAATGCATTTCTGAACATTGAGTGAGGACATGGTCGGGATTCTTCTGATGCCTGTGGGGGAGGTGCTGGAAAGTCGTTGGTGTTTTCAGGAGAGGACAAAAGTGGGGAGAAAATCTGCAAATATGCTTTAATTTGCAAAATGATCACTCACACCACAGAGAGAGGTATCAAATTCTTTTAAGGAAATCTCATGTCAGCATTTTATGTTTTGCCTATGATTTATATGGTTAGATTGAATCGTTTGCTTTCTTGTAATTTGAGCAATAATATTTTAATGCTTTGTTTTCTGATTCCCGGACTCTTATTTCAGCCACTACCCCCTGGTTTGAGGCCTACAGGGAATGCTTCTTCCAGTCCATGCCAGCATCAGACCACGAATTTCTACACCACTATTTGGCATGTATCCTTTTCTGACCAATATTTTTATGACTCATTAGCTAAAACGTGTTGAATGCTACTACTGAACATGTCTAATGCTAGTACTAAGTGCAAGTACAGCGCCTTGGGATGTCCTTCCAACGTGAAAGGCGCTATGCAAATGTAGTTTGTTGTTGTTGAATATGCTTTATTTTCTGACGATAAAATTATGTTTTGCTGTGAATTAATGGGATCTGTGGATTGAGGCTTCTCTTCATAAGATTTGCAGATGAAATGCAAGTAATGGCAACTCATGGTTCAGCAGTGTAGAGAAAGCTTTGTTTGAATGAAGATTATTATGATAAACCTTGCATTTAATATAGTGCTTTTTGTGTTCACGGAGATCGTCTCAAAGTGCTGCACAGGATTCACTGTAACGTGTAGTGACTTTTTTTAGGCAATTATGCCTTTAACTCAAGTGGCAAGCTACAGTTATTAAGGATTAAACTATTTGTGAGAAAAAACCAAAACAATAATATGTACCAATTTGATTTTATTTGCTATCTTTTTATGTTGCCATTTGCTGTACTCAGCTCTGGTACATTTGGGAGAGCAAATTATTTTATGAATAGAAGTGCCCACAAAACACTGCACTTTACAGTAAATCTTGTGAAGCGCTTTGCGATGTCCTCCTGATGTGAAAGGAGCTACACCAAATGTAAGGATAATTATTATTGTAAATGTAACTGTATTACAAATCATTGTTAAATTTCCAAGTTGTGTCCTTTTTGGGTGAAGGGGAAAATAAAATAAAAGTTTCCTTTTCATTCCTATTAATTGAGTTTCAGGGAAAAAATAATATGGTCTAATAGTATATGGATCCTTTTTTACTATGACACAAATGAGGTGCAGGGGGAATTCTGGTGGCTTATATCAAACTATTAAGATCTCTTTGCGGCTCTTATTTGAAATTAGACTGATAAGAATTAAAGAAAAGCCTTTTTTTATGCCCTCTCTGGCCCCACCTTTGGAATTCCATTCCATATTTCCTTGCCTCCTTCAAGGCTCGTCTCCAGACCCTCTTCGACCGTGCCTTGGGTCACCCTCCTACCACTACCCTCCCTGCCCTCCACCCCTCTTAAGCCCAATCCCCAGCTCGAGTTCAAATCCTTAACTGTCCAGCTCCTTGGGACGTCCTCTTGACGTGAAAGGCGCGATACAAATGTAATTTATTGTTTTTGTTGTTTTGTCTGCTGATGATAGTGAGAACGACCCATCATTTTGGAAAATAAAGGATCATTCTCATATTATTGAAAGCCCTAAAATATGTTTCTGAGTGAGTATGTGTGTATGTGTGTGTGTGCATGTTTGTGCGTTCACGTACACACTGCGCAAAAACAATTTTATATTCCTTAACCGTATTCCTGAAAGGCATGCTTGTTGTGTCATCAAAGGAGCTTGATCCTGTGGAGCAATTCTTGAAGCTATCTCAAGAGCAGCATCGTATTCAGCACAACAGTGACTACTCTTACCCAAAGTGGTTTATTCCAAATACACTGAAATACTATGTTTTGCTGCATGATGTTAGTGAAGGTGATGAGCAGAGGTAAGAAGTGGGTGAAGAAATATCAGGGAACTGTTTGAAAATGACTTGTTGTACATTCAGCCGATCGTGGAGCAATAACAACAACAACAAGATTCCATTTATAAAGCGCCTTTCACGTCAGGAGGACGTCCCAAGGCGCTGCACAGTTGGGTCATGACCCGAGCAGGGGGGAAATGGAACTCTGGACTATTCTACTCTCCTTGCCTGATAAAACACAAATTGCTTTTTTTATTGCACTTTATCACCTCTGTGTCTCAAAGCACCTTATAATAATTACTGTCAAACATCGTAGCTTTTTTGTAGGCAAGTGTACAAAGTCTCAACCTTATGTCAAGCTTTTTTCAATTTGTTTTTAGAGGTGATTGACAATTAATGCTGTGTTGTTGGCCAGGATAAACTCCCTTCTGTTTTGGGCACATTGATGAGTTGGAGCTCCGCTTTGCCAGAAGAAAGTTGCACAAGAGCGGTGCCAGTCAAAAACAAACAGCAACCTTATATCATGCTTTTTTCAATTTGTTTTTTTAAAAAAAAGATATTTATTATACTTGAAGATAATCCCATTGCACAGCCTTTATTTTCGTCACTGTGATAAAAACAGAAAGGAGTTTATCCTGGCCAACAAAGCAACATTAATTGGAGTCCCGTAGCGTATTGGTTACTCGCCGCACAAGCGAGAGAACCTGGGTTTGATTCCTGGGCAGGGCGAAAGCTTTGGCATGTTTCCTTACTCCATACGCCTCTGTTTACCCAGGAGCAAGTAGGAACATGGTTGTTAGTCGATTGACGGATCGCAATAATCGCTTAACAAAAAAACTAATCACTCAATCCATGACTGTTTGTGGGACACTGCTGTGCACAATTGGCTGCTGTGTTTCACCCACAAAATATCAGTCAATTCACCTTACAGCCTATTCTGTGAAGCGCTTTGAGACATCTTAACCACATGATAAGGCACTCTATCAAACGTAAGGATGATTGCACAGCCTTTAATATATATATATATATAAAATCCTTGCATCTGATATAGAGCACTTCATGTCTTCTAGACATCTCAAAGCGTTTCACAGAATATACTGTAAAGTGAATTGACTGTATATTTGTAGGCGAAATGCAGCAGCCAATTGCGCACAGCAGCGTCCTACAAACAGTCATGGATTGAAGTGACCAATTTTATTATTTTTTTTCTCTCTTGAGGGATTATTTTCAGGGGTGTGGAGTAAGGAAACTTACCCAAGGTTTCGCTCTGCTGGGAATCGAACCCAGGTCTCTCGCTTTACCGGGAACTTTTCTTTTAGGATGTGTATAACTAGCACCCACTGCAAACTGGAGTTTGTCGCTTATTAAAAGTTCATAGAAAATTTCTGAAAGAGAATAGCCATTTGAATATTTGTAATGACTGCGCTCAGATTTCATATTTAACTTTTGCAAATGTATTTCCATTTCCATAGCTGCAACACAAAAGTCCTATTGAATCATTTGACTTGGATACACATTGCAATGACTGTACCTCTGCTTCTGGAGATTTTATTGTGTTTTCCATTGCCTTTAAAGCATTAAAGTTTGACCAGTTTATTATTTTAAGCTTGAATCATATACATATGTTTCCCAACTTTCAGAGCTGAATCTACTTATGAGGAAATTAAACAGCGATACGGGTCCCAGGGCTGCTATCTGCTGAAGTTTAACTCTCGCACACCACTAGGTGGATCGGATGAGCAAATCCCAGACCCTTGGAGTCAGTACTTGAATAGAAGTAACTTGCAGAGCCAGGTAGGAACTGAGGTCACACATATTTAATAATAAGAGTCCGTACAGTAGAACCCATGTTATCCCAGTTATCCACCTGGGTCCCTTTCATTTAATCGAGGTTCCACAGCAAAATCATTGTTGATGGGCAGTGTTTTTTCTTCTTCACTGAGTAGTTCCCAATTTAATCTTCCATCCTTACAATTTCCAAAGATTGGAAGAAGTCAGACGCAACACACTGTGTAAAATTACATTTGTAAAGTGGCTTTCACGTCGGGAGGATGTCCTAAGGTGCTGAACAGTCAGGGTTCAGGAGCCGAGCCTGGGGGCATGGTTGGGATGAGGGGGGACAGAGGGGGTAGGAGGGCGGCTGAAGACACGGTCAAAAAGGAGGATCTTGAGTTGTGCCTTGAAGGAGGCAAGAGAGGGAGCCAGGCGAAGAGATTGTGGGATGGAGTTCCAAAGAGTGGGGGCAGAGAGGCGACAAGCCCGGCAGGTCAGAGATGCAGCAGGGGACAAGGCCGTAGAGGACCTTGAAAGTGAGGACGAGGATTTTGAATTCTATCCTCTGAGGGATAAATGCAAGTTGTTGTTGTTGATTTGACAGGTCAACCTGTGAAGTTGTTTGATGGGACATGTGAAGGAAAAGATTCCTTCTCTTGGTGAGATTAACAAACTCGAGCAATGATTATCAATTGAGATCTAAAGTTGATGTTTGTGGTATCTAGTGCTGTAACTGATATTTATTTTAAAAATGTCCCTAATGTTCATGCTAGGTGCTTTTTCATATTTGGCTAAAATGGGCCTTGGCACGTCCTCCCAACGTGAAAGGCACTATACAAATGTCAGGTTTTGATAGGGTAGACATAGGGAAGATGTTTCCACTCGTGGGGGAAACCAAAACCAGGGGCCATCAGTATAAAATAGTCACAAATAGATCAAATAGGGAAGTTAGAAGAAATTTCTTCACACAGAGACTAGTGGGAATGTGGAACATGCTACCACAAGGAGTTGTTGAGGCAAATAGCACAGATGTATTTAAGGTAAAGCTAGACAGGTACATGAGGGAGAAAGGAAGAGAAGGTTATGCTTGAAGGCTTAGTTGAGGAAGGGCAGGAGGAGGCTCACATGGCGCATATACACCGGCATAGACCAGTTGGGCCAAATGGCCTGTTTCTGTGCTGTATATTCTAATGTAATATATTCTAATGTAATTTGTTGTTGTGAAGCTGTGTGACAGATTTTTGTCTTCATTTTAGGAGATCTGTGAAGATGGTCCCACTTCACTTGTTACCAACAAAAATAAAGAAAACTCCATAAAAGCATTAGAGGTGGAAGGAACGGACATTTCAATCAAAGGTACTTAAATTCCATGTCACTGCTTTAAGAGTTTTACAGCAAAAAAAAGTTTTAAGGGAAGAATTGTGATTGAAAAGCTTTTAAAAAAAAGTTTATTTGTTACTTAGCATTAACCCTGTAATAATAGTAATAATAAGTAATAATAATCCTTGCATTTAATAAAGTGCCTTATCATGTTGGTGAGTACTTCACAGGATACACTGTAAAGTGGATTGACTGCTTGTTTTGTGCATGATCCTAGGAACATAATAGTGTACAGGACTGGAAAAGACCACTGTCATCCCTCTGTCTAATCCTGTAAATAGCTTTGCAGTGATAAATGATTTAAACATAATTTGAAGCACATTTTGCCACATAAGTCTTACAAATAAGCAACAGTTGTCCTGTGTAACATTCATTCTTGTTGTATTTCAAAAATTAGTGAAACAACTCTTAATATTGTTCTGATCAGCAGTGACTAATTTGGAGCGATGTGTTGGAGCACTGAAATACTATAACTGAGATCTTATCTGCCTGTTCAGTGGACATTAAAAATTCCATGGCACTGTTCAAAAAGAGAGGTAGATTCTCCCTGTCGTAGCCAACATTCTCACAAACACAATTGGTTATTGAAATCATGGTTGTTTGTAGGATATTGCCGTGAGAAAATTAATTGTCACATTTGCCTATAAATAGTTACTGGATTTTACAGTAATAAATCCCTGTGAAACAATTTGAGGCATTTTGACAACTTGATATGGTACTATATTGAATGCCAGTAATATTATTATTACATAGTTATTTTGGAAATCAAATATAAGAGAATGGTTTAAACAACAAAATTACATTTGTATAGCGCCTTTCACGTCAGAAGGAAACCGAGCAACAACAACAAGATTCCATTTATTGAGCGCCTTTCACGTCGGGAGGACGTCCCAAGGCGCTGTACAGTTGGGTCAGGACCCGAGCAGGGGGGAAATGGTCAGGGTGAGGGGAGGGAAGGGAGGGAGCGAGGAGGAGGTAGACAGTCGAGAGGGGAGCTGAAGGCACGGTCAAAGAGAAAGGTCTTGAGATCAGCCTTGAAGGAGGAAAGGGAGGAGGCAAGCAATAGAGTAGTATTGAAAAGCTTGAAATAAGTGTTGTGTAGGAAAGTTTGTAATAAGCTTAATGCTGATATCCAAGGGGCTTTATTATAATAATACAGTAGCATTTGTTTTGGTGACTGTGTGGATTGTGTGGACTTTCTCCAGGTACAATTGGTCCCAGACACGACTGTTGCGTTTTGCGTTTCGCCCACAAAATATACAGTCAATTCACTTTATAATGTATTCTGTGAAGTGCTTTGAAATATCACAACGACGCGCTGTATCAAATGCAACAATTATTATTATCATTAATAACTAAGCTGATCCAGAGGTGGAATTCCCTAGAGCTCCTGTAAGGAAGACCAGTTATGCAGAAGAAACTAATTAATTGCTGTGGTTTTAAATTTGAACAGATGGCGTGGCAAACAACTATAAATCCCATCCACTGCAACAGGCTCATTCCAAAGAAACTCATACGAAATTGGAGGAGCTCGATGGTACAAGCAAGCCCGTGGGGACAGTAAACGATGGAATCAAACAAAACAGCTTGAACGCTCGAGGGTTGTGTTTAACACTGACCGATCACGATCGAATTCGGCAGTTCATTCAGGAATTCACGTTTCGAGGATTGCTGCCTCACATTGAGAAGACGATTCGACAGCTGAATGATCAGGTGTGGCTATGGTTCTGTTCTCAGGTTTTCAACACGATATTTGATCTATGAGTTCCACATTGTTTCTTTTGCCCATGTGTCATATGTCGGCTAGATCAGTAGAAACTTAATTCAACAGGAAAACATTGACCGATTTAGACTTATGGATAGTTTTCTTTTAGGAAATAACATTATGGGATATGGTACATAGGTAGTGTGGGATATATGCATCTGACTGCCAGAAAGGGGGAAGGCGAACTAGGTGGACCGTGTTTTTTTTTGTCTGTTATTTCTTATGTTCTTATGATTTTGAATACATAGGATAAATGACACTGCCTGAGGCCACAAACGTTTTTTTTGTGTGCGATTTTAAGGGAGAAGAAAACGAAAAGTAATGTCGCAAGGTGTTCTTGCCTAATTTTATTTCTAAGGAACGTATTGAGAAAGATCGTAAGGAGCGTTTTTAGTATTCTATTACTGAACATACAAATAAATCACCAAAGAATATATTGAAATAGGTGCAGTATTTCAATCTGAAACGGCTAGGATAGAGTCAGATTTGATAAGAATGTTCAACAAATCTATTAAATTAGTATTAAACTTGATATGTATATCAAAAAAGCCACACGTATTTGTTTTCCCCTTCATTTTGCCAAATATTGGAGAGCCATGGAAAAAGTAAGTTCAAAGTGGTTTGGCCTCAACTACAGCTTCGTTGTGTTCCAGTAACACACTCAGAACTTGCCTTCATGTTAAAGCTGAAACTTTAGCAGAGAAAATTACAAGACCCACGCATGTCTTTTCCAATATGTTATTGTTTGTGGAGCTGTGGAATCCTGTAGCATAGTGGTTAGAGCACTCGCCTCGCAAGCGATCGACCCGGGTTCGATTCCTGGGCAGGGCGAAATCTTGGGTAAGTTTCCTTACTCCACATGCCTCTGTTTACCTAGCAGCTCAATTTTGGCTGAGCAACAACAAGATTTCATTTATAGAGCGCCTTTCACGTCGGGAGGACGTCCCAAGGCGCTGGACAGTTGGGTCGGGACCCGAGCAGGGGGGAAATGGTCAGGGTGAGGGGAGGGAAGGGAGGGAGCGAGGAGGGGGAAGAGAGTCGAGAGGGTAGCTGAAGGCACGGTCAAAGAGAAATGTCTTGAGACGGGCCTTGAAGGAGGAAAGGGAGGAAGCGGCGAAGGTACTGGGGGATAGAGTTCCAGAGCCTCGGGGCTGAGAGGCTGAAGGCCACCGATGGTAGGGCGGTTGGGGCGGGGGGTGTGGAGCAGACCGGAGCCAGAGGAACGGAGGGTACGGGCAGGTAAGTAGGGGATAGTAGGTCGGAGAGGTAGGAGGGAGCGAGGCCATGAATGGCCTTGTAGGTGAGGATGAGGATCTTGAATTCGATCCTCTGGGGGATGGGGAGCCATTGGAGGTGAGCGAGGGTGGGAGTGATGTGGTCGCGAAGCCTGGTGCGGGACAGTACCTAGCAGTAAATAGAAACCTGGTTGTTAGTCGATTGGCGGATCGCTTTCTGGGGTAATAATCACTTCAAAATAATAATAATTTGGTCACTGAATCTACGACTGTTTGCGGGACACTGCTGTAAGCAGTTGGCTGCCACGTTTTGCCCACAGTCAATTCACTTTGCAGTATATTCTGTGATGTGCTTTGAGACGTCTCAATGACGTGATAAGGCGTTATATTAAATGTAAAGATTATTATTTCACAAAAATGTCGGAACAATTACTGTTAACCGTGCTAGCTTTTTAAATATTATATTCTCTTTCCAAGCGTTTGGTTACTTGATATTCAATAAGTGATTGTTCTTACGGTTACAAATAAATGAAAGTCAGCATCTTGAAGCTATCTGTGGATTTCATACTGCAAACTGCATACTGACGTGTTGAAGATCTTGCAATTGCAAGTTATTAGTGTTATCGTTGGGTCATGTACAAGTCCTTTGCAGTTGTACACTTTGGTTACATTAGCTACATCAAGGTCCTCGATTACTGATGCAAATTGTCTTGTAAAGACTGCACTGTAATCTTTCAGCAATAGTGTCATTTTTATTTTGTCCTGGGTCCTGCAGTTTATCTGTTTGACCTCCGTCTCCAGCAGAACAATGTTTCCATTTGCCTTTCTTATCTCTAGCCATTGTGTTCAATTTGTACCGAAATCAAACCAATAATAATAATCCTTGCCTTTGAGACGTTTGAAAACGCTTCGCAGAATATAATGTTAAGTGAATTGATTATATATTTTGTGGATGAAACACGACAGCCAGTGGAAACAGTTTCTCCTTATTTATTCCCATCAAAACCACTCAGTAAATCCAGAACAATGCTTTTAAGATAAGTGTAGGACAAAATTACACAGGTGTCGGGTGTAAAGAGCACGTTTCGGTCAAGAGTTCATACGTATTTATACCATACAAAATTACATTTGTGTAGCGCCTTTCATGTCGGGAGGACATCCCAAAGCACTGGACAGTTAGGAATTTGGACCCGACAACAACAACAAATTGCATTTGTATAACGTCTTTCATGTCAGGAAGACATCCCAAGGAGCTGGACAGTCAGGGATCCAAACCCGAGCTGGTGGTTGGGATCAGGAGGGGTGGAGGGGGAGAAATTCTATTCTTTATTTCTTCATAAAGAATAGAATTGGTTGCTAGGAAGGAGAGTAGATAGTTAACTTTCCAAATCCCATTTCCACGGTTATATCCTCTACAAACTCTAGAGCTATGCACGTCGGGAGGATGTCTCAAGGCACTAGACAGACAGAATTTCGGACCCGAGCTGGGGTCAGGGTCGGGAGGGTGGAGGGGTGGGGGAAGCAGGGAGATCGAAAGTACGGTCGAAAAGGAGGGTCTTGAAGGTGGCAAAGCAGGGGGCGAGGTGGAGGGACTGCAGGATTCAGAGGGTGGTGACAAAATGGCAGAAGGCCCGCCTGCCAATAGTAGGGCGAGCGAGGCGGGGGACGTGTAGCAGGCCTGCTGAGCAGAGGCAGCGAGCAGGATGGTAGGGGGTTAGGAGGTCACAGAACTGTATCCTCTGTGTGATGGGAAGCCAGTGGAGTCGGACGAGGATGGGGGTGATAGGGTCACAGAGCCTGGTGCGGGAGAGAATGCGGGCTGCATAATTCTGGATGATCTGCAGCCTTGGAGGGAGGATTTGGGGAGGCCGACAAGCAGTGAGTTTGCATAGTTAAGCCTCGATGTAATGAAAGCGTGTATGAGGGTTTTGGTGGCCTGTGGTGTGAAACAGTGGGGGAGCCGGGCGATGTTGAGAAGGTGGAGGAAGGCAGAGCGGGTCATGATGTGGAGTAGAAAGGATAGTTGAGGGTCAAACAAGACCCCAAGGTTCTGGACTGGCTTAGTGAGGTGGAGTGTGCAACCATGAATGGTGATGCTGTCAGCACCTGAGGTGAGGGGGGACTGACGGGAGCTAATCAGGAGAGCCTCGGTCTTGTTGACGTTCAACTGAAGAATGTTAGCTCTCATCCAGGACTTGATGTCAGACATACATTCTGTCAGCACAGCAGTGGTCTTGGAGTCAAGGTTGGAGGCAGAGAGGTAGAGTTGGGTGTCATTCGCATACATGTGGAAGTTGACCCTATGTCTACGGATGATGTCACCAAAAGAGAGCATATAGATATTGAAGAGGAGGAGACCAAGGACAGAGCCCTGAGGAACACCGCACGAGACGGTGTGGAGGCTAGAGAAGAAACCGTTTGTGGAGATGAAGTGCAGGTGGTGTGAGATGTATGATCTGAACCAGTCAAGGACAGAGCCGTGAAGGTTGAGGTGAAAGGAGAGGCGGTGGATGAGGATGGAGTGGTGTCGAAAGCAACAGTGAGGTCAAGGAGGACGAAGAGGCAGAGGGAACCCTGGTCTCAGATGGACAGAATGTCATTTGTCACTGGTCAGGGCTGTTTCTGTGCTATGGGCAGCACGGAAACCCGATTGGAGGGATTAATGTTAAGATCACTCCACTTCACAGTAAATCCTGTGAAGTCCTTTGGGACGTCCTCCCGATGTGAAAGATACTATGCCAAATGCAATGATGATTATTAAGATCCGAATAGCCTGTAAATTATTATCTTTATGGAGGTTGTAAGTTCTATTTGTAGTAAATTCTAAGTGAGATGGTGAGAAGCCATGATTTTGATACCTCTCGAAGCTCCTTTGATTTTCCAAAAGAATGATTTGAAATGGGACATTGGGTAACTGGGGCTAGGCTCTTGATTGAATAGTGTATGCAACCTGTTAGAATGGTTTTCTGATATTAGTCGTGAAAACAAAAAACAAAAATAAGAGTAACATATCTCACATGTATTAGGGTACTTTTGAGAGGGAAGGAAATGTGTAAAACGTATGTTGAAGTAGTTTTTCACTTGTGAGTTGTTTAATTAAATTGTACAACTTAATTCACAATTTAAAAGAATTTTTTGGTTAAGAACATAACCTTTCATGGGCATTAAATTAATGAAATTTCTTCTGTTGTTTGTTTTATGCAGCTGATTTCCAGAAAAGGCTTAAGTCGATCTCTATTCACCGCCACTAAGAAATGGTTCAGTGGGAGCAAAGTGCCGGAGAAAAGCACGAATGAACTGAAAAGCACCACCAGCTTATTGTAAGTAAACAAGTTCTTGTTTCGCAAAATTGTTCTCAGTTTTGAATGGATGAAGAAGAGCTGCATATGGAGTCCCATAGCATAGTGAGCAAGCAACAGGACTTGGGTTCGATTGCCAGACAGGGTGAAACTTGGGCAAGTTTATTTACTCCACAAGCCTCTGTTTACTGAGCAGTAAGTTGGAACCTGGTTGTTAGTCGATTGGCGGATCGCTTTTCTGGGGATAATAATCCCCTCCAAAATAAGCTTAAAAATTTTTACTCAATCCATGACTGTTTGTAGGACACTGCTATGCGCAATTGGCTGCTGCATTTCGCCCTCAAAATATACAGTCAATTCACTTTACAGTATATTCTGTGAAGGGCTTTGAGACGTCTCGACGACGTGATAGATACTACATCAAATGCAAATATTATAATTATGAATAGGAGCTGCTTATATTGTACATAGATTTTACTGTCCGATTCCAAATTCTAGTTTCAGTTTTCCTCTAACTTTGTTCTGAGTACATACATGTCTTTCATGAAAACTTCTTGTATAAAGTCTTTAAATGGAATCTTGTTACTATGGAGCACATTGTCTTAGATAAAGATATTTAAGTCATCTGTAGGGCCTCAGTAAAAAAACATGCCTTTTAATAAAGTATCCTAAAAATTGAACTTTGTTTATGAGAAACTACCAATGCAATCAACTCTAACCTTATTCTCTTGGACATACCTTCCCCTGCTCTGATTCCAGCCTGTTGCTTTTTCCCTCTATCCCATTAACAGAGGCTGAGGCTTCAGCCATTACATTTCTAGAGCTCTTTTCTAAACTTTCATTGCTATGGTTCCTGGCTTCAAAACACTCCAGATTGTGCCGGCCTGGCTCAGTTGGTTGCACTCTGAGTCAGAAGGTTGTGGGTTCAAGCTGCACATTGGGACTTTGAACTCATATAATCTTGGCTGACACATTGTTGGAGGTATGTTACATTATCGGAGATGCAGCCCTTCGAATGAGACGTTAAGCTGAGGACCTATCTGCCTATTCAGCTGGCTGTTAAATTATAATAATAATTCTTGCATTTGATATAGTGCTTTATCATGTCTTCGAGGCGTCTCAAGGTGTTCACAGAATATACTGTAAAGTGAATTTACTGTATATTTTGTGGGTGAAACTCAGCAGCCAATTGCGCACAGCAGTATCCCACAAACAGTCGTGGATTGAAGTGACCAATTCATTATTATTTTGTTGAAGGAATTATTACCCCCAGAAAAGTGATCTGCCAATTGACTAACAACTGGTTCCTACTTACTGCCAGGTAAACAGGCGTGTGTGTGGAGTAAGGAAACTTGCCCAACATTTCGCCCTGTTGGGAATCAAACCTGGTCTCTCGCTTGCGAGGCGAGTGCTCTAAACACTGAGCTACAGGACTCCACATTAAAGATCCCATGGCACTATTCCAAAAGAGAAAGAAGTTTTTCTTGATCTTTACTTATTTCCATTGAATCCAGATAAGCCTACTCGTAACAAAATTGCTTTTGGCTGAGAAGTTATTGATGCCAATATCACACATTATTGCATTTTATTATCCCCACCTAGGGCAGGCCGCACTTTCAGCCTCTACGCCCTGAAGCTTTGGAAGTCTCTACCCCCAATCTGTCCATTTTGCCCTCTTCTCTTCTTTTAGATCACGACTGAAGACCTTCCTCTTCAGCCGTCCTCACAGTCATCACCTTCCTCCCCCTGGCTCGGCGTCAGGCTCTTCCACTGTTAAATGCCCCGAGATGCTGCCCACATGAAGGGCGCTATATACATGTTGCTTGTGTTTTACTATGTTTGTGCTTCACTCCTCAATTTCACATAGGTATCCACTAGAAGCCCCTGAGCTGCAAATAAGGAAAATGGCTGACTTGTGTTTCTTGGTTCAGCATTATGATTTAGCTTACAGTTGTTACCACACAGCAAAGAAAGATTTCCTCAATGATCAAGCGATGCTGTATGCAGCAGGAGCACTGGTTTGTATTGAACAGATAAATCCCGAAATATGATTCTTGCATGATGAAACATTAAAAGGACAGGATTTGTAATGTATATTATTCTGAAATGCTGTGCGTATGTAAATTTATTAAAGGCTTCTGGACTTTTAATTAGCATTGTATTAAAGGAACAATAAGATATAATTCTGGCATTGCACCTATATTATAGAATCATAGATTACAGCACAGGAGGAGGCCATTCGGCCCATCGTGCCTGCACCGGCTCTTTGAAAGAGCTACCCAATTAATCCCACTCTTCGCTGTTTCCCCATATCCTTGTAATTTTTTCCTTTTCAAGTACCTATCTAATTCCCTTTTGAAAGTTGTTATTGAATCTGCTTCCACCACCCTTTCAGGTGGTGCATTTCAGATCGTAGCAACTCTCCTTATTTTTACCGACCCACCTGCCAGTGGAAACAGTTTCTCCCTATCTGCTCCCCTCATAATTTGAACACCTCTGTTAAATCTCCCCTAACCTTCTCAGCTCTAAAGACAACAATCTCAGCTTCTCTAGTCTATTTACATAACTAAAATCCCTCATCCCTGGTAAATCTCCTCTGCATCCTCTCCAAGGCCTTGACATCCTTCCTAAATAGCGGTGCCCAGAATTGGACACGATGCTCCAGCTGAGGCTTAACCAGTGACTTATGAAAGTTTAGCTAAACATCCTTGCTTTTTGTACTCTATGCATCTATTTGTAAAGCTGTGTTTGTTTAGGATTATTTACTGACTGGCTAATTTGGTGCCAAACTTCTGCATTAAAATTACTAATGGTATAAAACTATTGCTTCAAATGCTCGTCGTTCCAAGAGAAAAGGGCTCAGTGACGAGTTAGCCGGAGTGGCAAGTTAGGCACTTGTATAAATACATACATAAATGGGGCTGGGATATTGACAGCATGATGACTTAAATGGCAGTGAGAAGTTAAGCCAGGGTTAAGTTATCAGGAGTACTGAATTCATAACTTAATTTTATAAACCTGGATTTATAAATTGCAAAATTTTATGTGAAGGATACAAGGAGATATGGTGCATCACACAAATAAATTGTTTCCTAATTTCTCATTTGTTCCATGTCTATAATATCAAAGGAAATGGCAGCAGCATCAGTTTTTCTTCAGCCTGGAGCTCAGAGGCAGTACCCAGCCCATTATATGGAGACAGCTATTCAGACTTACAAGGACGTGTGCAAGTATGTCGTTTTCTTCAACAACAACAACAACAACACATATGTACAGAGCCTTTCACCTTGGGAGGATGGCCCAAGGTGCTGGACAATCGGTGCTTTGGACCGGAGCTGGGGGTCGGGATTTAGGAGGGTGGAGGGCAGGGTGGGGAGGAGGGTGGTCGAAGAGGAGGATCTTGAGATGGGTCGAAGGAGGCAAGGGAGCTGGTGAGGCGGTGGGACTGGGATGGAGTTCCAGAGGGTGGGGGTAGATTGGCTAAAGGCTGCCCGTCATTGGTGGGGCAGGCGAGGCGGGGGACGGGAAGCAGGCTGGAGACCGCTGAGCGGAGGGAGCGGGCAGGATGGTAGGGGTTTAGGAGATCACAGAGGTAGGGGAGAGTGAGGCCATGGAGGGCTTTGAAGGTGAGGACCAGGATCTTGAAGGTGAGGACCAGTATCCTCTGTCTGATGGGAAGCCAGTGGAGTCGGGTGAGGATGGGGGTGATAGGGTCACGGAGCCTGGTGTGGGAGAGAACACAGGCTGCAGAGTTCTGGATGATTTGTAGAGTCAAATAGCAATTCTGTAGCTTGGAGTCCTGTAGCATATTGGTTAGAGCAGTCACCTCACAAGTGAGAGGACCCGGGTTCGATTCCCAGGCAGTGTGAAACTTTAGGCAAGTTTCCTTACTCCACACACCTCTGTTTAACTAGCAGTAAGTTTTTAGTTGATTGGTGGATCACTTTTCTGCGGGTAATAATCCTTTTAAAATAAATAAATAAAATAATAATAATGTTGTCACTCAATCCATGATTGTTTGTGGGACACTGCTGTGCGCAATTGACTGTCATGTTTTGAAAGTAAAATATACAATCAATTCACTCTACAGTATATTCTGTGAAGTGCTTTGAGATGTCTCAATGACGTGATCAGGTTCTATATCAAATGTAAGGATTATTATTATTACAGCACAGGAGATAGTTTATCTCGTCGATCATATTTTGGTCCTAACTCAGCCAGTTTGCATGCACACAACAGTGTCTCACAAACAGCCATGGAGTGAGTGACCAATTTTATTTTGGGGAATTATTGGCCAGAACACCAGGAGAAACTCCCTTCTCTTTTTGAGTAGTGCCGTAAAATCTTTATCATCCACTGGAACAGGCAGGGTATAGAAATAGGTACAAGAATCTCCACAAACATTTGTGTCATGTGCTTTGATTTTCAACGTTAACATTTTTCTCCCTCCAGGAATCTGGTCCTTGCAGAGAGATGCGCTTTGCTGAGTGCTGAAATTCTGAAAAGCCAAGTCAAATATTCAGAGGCTGCAACTCTGCTTATTCGTATGACGAGTGAGGTAGGAAAGGTTCCAGTTTGGCGTATTGATAGTGCACTAACCTAATTGTATATCTCACTATTGTGCAACTATGTGCTCTGTGTAGTCTTAGAGAGGTGGAAATCTTTGGTATGTGTCCATAACATTTTGCTCAAAATGGAGCACGTCATGAGGGCCAGTCAGGTATAATTTGGGACTGTGGTATAAAATGGAAATGTGTCCCAAATAAGCAATTTGTGAAAATGTGCCAAATGACTTCAAGTATATGGAATTCAGACTGTCTGGTTGTCACTGTCAAATGTTGAATTAACATTTAGATGGAAAATCTGGCTAGCTGGATCTTCCCCCATTAATCCGGTGTCCAGTTTGCTGGGGATTGACTAGTCTCTCTTTCAAGTCTGAAGTGGTTTATCTGTCCAACCTTTAGCCTATTCTCTTGACAGTACATTATTGCAGTCACCAGTTGTGAGATTGCATCTTGCAAACAAAAAAAATTATGAAAGAGCGGCAATTTGAGGACTTGCAGAACGAATTCTGTGACTCGGTGCTCACTTTTATTTTATACTGAGTGACTCATTAGATATGCAAGTTCAAACTTTGATCTATTGGTATTTGGGCACTGAGGATCGTGTGCATTGAAAAAGAGATGCTTCTTGATACATTGTAGTTGGTTTTGTGTGAAAATGTAAATGTGTGCCAACTAATCAAATATTGTGCAAATTTGAATATTTGGGACACATTTACATTTTCTCTCTCCCCACTTTCTCTAATCAGACGCACGACTCACTATCTGCAGGGGGAAGCCGGCGGTTGGTAAGGACAGGGTGGATAAGGAGACCCTTATAAAGGTCATAGAATTCTTTCAGCAAGTCCTCAAGTTGGCTCTCTTTGATTCATATTTGTTTTCTTCTGAAAGATGCAACTTCGGAACTGGTGACTGTTAATTATTAATATTATGTGTGAGTGGTAACGTTAAAATAAATGTTTCTCATTTCAAACAGGATTCTGACTTACGGAGTGCCCTTTTACTGGAGCAGGCCGCCCACTGTTTCATCAACATGCGAACACCTATGGTGCGCAAGTTTGCTTTTCACATGATCCTGGCCGGACATCGGTTTAGTAAAGCGGATCAGGTGAGCATCCAAGAAGTGACTGGTATTTGCTTCAAATTACTGTTTGAATTTAGCAACCTTGCTTGAAATAGATGAAGCGTGCATGTGCACCAGTCCAGCACAGTCTGTTATGCACCTGAGCAGACCCAGTTACAGTACAAGGTTATGGGTTCGTATCCTACGTCGGGACTAAGATGATACTCCAATGCAGCCCTGAGAGCGTTGCATTCCCGAAGTTGCTGTCTTTCGGGTGAGACGTTAAACTGAAGACCCATCTGCCTGTTCAGGCGAATGCTAAAGATCTCGGCACTATTTGAAAAGAGAAGAGAGTTTCTCCCGTGTCCTGGCCAACAAATCCCCCTAATAAAATCGGTCATTCGTTTCATCATTAGTAGGACATTGCTGTGTGCAATTGTGCTGCTGCGTTTGTCTACAAGTACACACTCATTTCATGCCTTAGTAAATCCTGTGAAGGGAGACATAAACAGGCTGGCAAGATGGGCAGACACATGGCAGATGGAATTTAGTAACAGGAGTAGGCCATTCAGCTCATCGAGCCTATTCCACCATTCTGTAAGATCATGTCTGATCTGTACCTCAACTCCAATTTCCCTCGATACTCTGACCTAACAAATATACTTTATACTTTAAATTTAATGCAGGGAAGTGAGAAGTAATGCATTTTTGGAGAAGATTGAAGAGAACCAATATAAGATAAAATGGTACCATTTTAAAGGGGGTGCAGGGACAGAGACCTGGGGGTTCACATAAGCAAATCTTTGAAGGTGGCAGGGCAAGTTGACAAAAGTTGTTAACAACAATAAGATTCCATTTATAGAGCGCCTTTCACGTCGGGAGGACGTCACAGGGCGCTGTACAGTTGGGTCAGGACCTGAGCATTGGGGGGAAATGGTCAGGGTGAGGGGAGGGAGGGAGTAGAGAGTCGAGAGGGGAGCTGAAGGCACGGTCAAAGAGAAAGGTCTTGAGACCTTAAAAAAGCATATGGGATCCATGGCATTTATTACACTTATTACTCTCCAATTAAACTCCACAAGCAAAGGACATTTGTTCCATGATCCTTACATTTTGTGGGATAAAGGGCTATAAAGCACTTTACATTATAATCAGTCTCTGGTGCTAGCAATGGTAAGACTGGAATGTCAAGTCTTAGCAGATCTTAGAAATTCCTTATTTATATCCTTATTTATAAATAGAGACAGAGTATAAAAGCAAGGAAGTGATGTTGAACCTTTACAAATTGCTGGTTAGGCCTCAACTGGAGTATTGTGTTTAGTTCTGGACATCGCACTTTAGGAAGAATGTCCGAACCTTGGAGAAGGTGCAAAAGAGATTTACCTGAATGATACCAGAGATGAGGGACTTCAGTTATGTGAAGAGACTAGGGAGGCTGGGATTATTCTACTTAGAACAGAGAAGGTTGAGGGGAGATCTAATAGAGATGTAGAATGGCAGAGCAGGCTGAATGACATACTCCTGTTCCTAAGTTCCTACTAGCTTCCAGGTGGTTGTTGCGTTGATATTGGCTTGCTGTTGGATTTTACCGCAAGCTTCGACTCCCTGACGTCCCAGGTAATACTTCACCTTAGCATTTCTTTTATTTGGAGAAGTGATGTGTGATGAAGTGACGTGTTCTTGATTACAGCGGAAGCACGCCTTGCGGTGTTATAGTCAAGCAATGCAAGTTTACAAGGGAAAAGGCTGGAGCCTGGCGGAGGACCATATAAACTTTACCATTGGTCGTCAGTCCTTCACACTACGGCAGTTAGAAAATGCAGTGTCAGCCTTCAGGCACATCCTGATCAATGACAGTAAGCAGACGGCTGCTCAACAAGCTGCTTTTCTTCGCGAGTACCTCTATGTTTATAAGGTAAGACAGAGTGGTCACCTGCCTCCCGCACCCCCCCCCCCCCCGCACCCCGCATCTGGCCCACCCGCTCCCTCCATAACCCGTAAATTTGGTTATGTTTCTGGAAGGGAAACACAAATATATTGCTTATGCGGCCCACTGGTATTTCTCAGATTGGGCACCCGGCCCTCAGCAGCCAAAAGGTTGGAGCATCCTGAGGTAAGATATTAGCATTGAAAAGCTGGTCAACCCAAATCTGCTGACGATGTTATTTTTCAGCCAAATTCTAACCAGGAATTGAATATTTCATGAATCCACTACTGTTCTCCGAGACCCTACCCCACGTGAAGGGCGCTATGTAAATGCAAGTTGTTATTCTGGAAGTAACATTTTAAGTTGGAATAGATAATCCTCTTAATTTCTGCCATGTGATCTCATAAGCCATTTTAATCGCTGCGGGAAATGGGCTTTAACTTAGGATTGGTTTAGTAACGTTCCAAAATTCAGCACAGTCTGATTTTCTTTTTAAAAGACAATGGTCTCAAGTCTAAGGCACAGAGGAGCTTTGGGATTCAAAAAGAGTACGGCGCTATCCAAATGTAATTTGTTGTGGTACAGCTTTAACGATTTACGTCTGTTTTTTCAGAATGTTAGTCTGCTTTCACCTGATGCACCTTTGCCCCACCTTCCATTACCCTACATTAAGAGCTCAGCAACCCGAGTATTTTTTGGACATGATCGAAAACCATCAGAAGGTTGGTTCCTTCGGTTTATCTTTTTGAGTAGACATAGGCTTGTGGAAGGAGTTTAAATGGAAGTGATGGGAATTGAATAGATGTTGTGCTGCTCCCTACGTTCAGTCTAGCTGCTTGCTGCCATGTTTGGGTAGAATTCAGCAATGAAGACGACGAGTAAAAGTTATGTGATTGAGAATATAAATTCATATGCTTTGAAGCTGTACCTTTTTCTGTGGGGAATGTATTTCTGAGCCTTAACTCTCACGATTTAAAATGACTGAGCTTTCTTTCTGCTTAAAAGGAGAAAAACAAGCGGCCACCCATGTCAGCCTGGACCAGGAATATGAGCGCGAATCCTCCCAACAGTGGAAAGAGCTTGAGGAGCAGGTAGTTGCTGTGGTGAACAGAGGAACTCTGCCCTCGAGTTTCCAGCCAACTCAGTACTGTTTAAACAGCCAGACCGACCACTTGCGATTTCCAGTTGTTGTCGTAGAAGGTAATTCAGCAAAAAATAAATGTTCCTTAAAGAAAGTCCTAGAATAAGCACAGAAGGAAGCCATTCAGTCTGTCCAGCGTCTGCTGGTGCTAACTACTTCACTGGATCCACCTGGACTGACCCCAGGAACCTTTATCAAGGTGTTAGTGATGAGGAATGCAGTTGAGGTGTGAAAATTCCTTCATCCCAAGCGCAAGAAGATTCCATGACAGCACAGCCAGCCTGGCTCATCGGCAGGACTTGGAAGGGCAGACCAGTCACTGAGGGCAGGAAATCCTCCCAATTAGCTCCTGTTAAACCTGCAAGCCAAACCCCTAATGGGTAAAGTGGTCCTAGCTGGTCAAGCCGGGGAAAGCTTCCCAGACAGTGATATCAATGGCAAACTATGCTGTTTTAACTGGTTAGACTCCAGCAGTTACCCCATTGCACACTCTGGCGTTCCCAAGCCTTGGCTCTTGCCAACCTGCACCTAATACTTTCCAGAATTAGGTAAACAGGATGTGTCCCTCCAGGGAGAGAGTGCGCATTCCATTCCAACAATCTTATCTCTGGGATTTCCATGTTAACACCCCTATAAACAAATCTGTGTTATACTGAAGAATGCTATAACACGATTCTGGTTACTGTACATCTATTAGGAATTTGCTACACATTTGTAATGGTAAAATCATTGGGGATGGAATTTACTGTCTAATTCTTCAGGTGTTGCTCATTCATTGTGCAGTTACTAGATACCATGATAATTTTTTTCTTGATTGTACTCTACACAGAACCTATCACAGTTGAAGTGGTGTTCAAAAACCCTCTGAAGGTCCCCCTTCTGTTGAACGATCTGTCGCTGCTGTGGAAGTTTTATTGCAGAGACTTTAATAAAAAGCCAGAGGCAGTTTCAGGAGAACCAATCAGCAATGAAAAGGATGTACATTTAAAGGTAATTCAATAGGTTTCTTGCCTAATAATTTCATAAGTTGTTGTTCTGATCCTGTATCAAATGCAAGGATTATTATTATTACTATCCTTTCTGTCGAACACTGGTGTGCAAGCGTGATTTTAGAACCATAGAAACTTACAGCACAGAAGAAGGCCTTTTGACCCATCTTATGTTGATTGACTGACTCTTTAGAGAACAGTCCTTTTGGTCCCATTTACATGTCTCTTTCACCATACCTCTGCAGTTTACTCCTTTTGAATAGAATATAGGTGTACTGCTCCCCCCTGTGTTTCATTTCTGTAGTCACAGCAGTTAGCAATGCCTTGTGTATGTGGTGTAATGCCTTGGAACTGCCCTTTCACTGGAATACTGGTCAGATTGGTTTGGAACCATTCAATCTCTTCCTAGTCAACATGGTGGCACAATATAAGGCTCCAAGGTGATCCATGTGTAGGTGGGAGGCATGGAATTTTCAGCTTAGTTTGGATACCTTTGAGCATGATGGTGAGTTTCCATATATGTCAGACTCCTGGCTGACCAACAAAAAAATATAAGACGCCCATACTTTGGCACAAATTGGCATCACAATTAGGGTTTGGGGAATGGAAGCATAAGCCTGATGAAGTAAGTGCTCTTCAGAGAATAGTTAAGGCACAATCTTAAAATCATAGCAATTGAAGTGCAGAATGAAGCCATTCAGCCTTTGCAACCTCTCCCTTTCCTTATCTTGTTTATGTCTATTCGGAATTGCATAAGTTGCTCAGCACAACCGTCCTGTCTGTGACCTGACAACATAATTTCTCAGTAATTGGCTTCTTGGAAAATAGATGTGTATCTTTAAGACAATAATGCCCCACACCCCTACACAACACAAATTTACATTTATACAGCATCTTTCATGTCCCAAAATGCTGGACAATCTAGGGTTTGCATCTGAGCGGGGGTGGGGAGGGGGCAGAGACCACCACCACCCCCCCCCCCGTCCCCGGAAAGACATACCTTGTTTACCTAATTATAGAGAATATTTTGGCACAGGTTGACGAGTGGTTTTGAGAACCTACAATATTTCTCTTTGACCGAGCCTTCAGCTCCCCTCTCGACTCTCTTCCGCCTCCTCGCTCCCTCCCTTCCCTCCCCTCACCCTGACCATTTCCCCCCTGCTCGGGTCATGACCCAACTGTGCAGCGCCTTGGGACGTCCTCCTGACGTGAAAGGCGCTTTATAAATGGAATCTTGTTGTTGTTGTCTTGTATTGGAGTATTTTGTCATGCATTGTTAGAGCCCTCGCTTGCAAGCGAGAGGATCTGGGTTCGATTCCCGGGCAGGGTGAAACCCTAGGCAAGTTTCTTACCTTGCGGTAAGTAGGAACCCGCTTATTAGTCAATTGGGGAATCGCCCTTCCAGGGGTAATAATTCCTTCACAAAATAAAGTGATAATAATGTGGTCACTCAATCCACGGTTGTTTGTGGGACGTTGCTGTGCGCAGTGGACTGCCGCATTTCGCCCACAAACTATACAGTCAATTCACTTTACAGTATATGTGAAGCGCTTTGAGACGTCTCAACAATGTGATAAGGTGCTATATCAAATGCAAGTATTATTAAAATGTTCCTAATTTTACTAAATGTGTGCTGTTGCAGGCAACTCTCGATTATATTGGCGCAGAGGTTGCAAATGAATTTCAAGTAAATGGGGAAGAGACGAAAGTAGTAAGTATGCATATTTGTCCTGAATATGTTTTTTAATTGATGGTTTTATAATCAAGTCACCAGACATTGTTGTGAGTTAAGGGTAAAGAATTAGGAGGGAATCTGTGATGACGTCCCAAAACTCTGGGAGCCTCTCCCTCAATCCCTCCGCCTTGCCCCCTCCTTCCCCATCTTTAGGTCACACCTGAAGATCTTTCTCTTCGACTGTGGCTATTGTCACCTCCCCCGGTTTGGCATTGTGCTCCACCACCGTCAAGTGCTCTAGGACGCTGTCCTGCGTGAGGGGCGCTATATAAATGCAAGTTATTGTTGGTTACTGAGCTGGGACTCTTACGGTTCATACGTTTGGAAATAATTCTTTATGAACGGTTTATACCATTTTATATTTCTCTCCCTTAAATTCTACTGTCCGGTACCTGAGAAGAACTCTGCATGTTCAGAACCAAGCTGTCATATCACTGTCTTTGCAAAACATTAAACCATTCACTTAAAAGCACTTGGGCAGCGGGAAGGAGGAAGAGAGACTATCTGGCAAGCTTTCCCACTGCTTGTCCAGTTAGGACCATCCTACCCATTAGGGCTTTGGCTTGCAGGGTTAACAGGAGCTGAGTGGGAGGATTCGCTGCCCCCAGTGATTAGTCTGCCCATGCTGCCAATGAGCCAGGCTGCCTGTGCTGTCAACAGCTATGCCTGGAGTACTGCGGACTCGCCTGGCTCAGGAACTGGATGCCGAGTCCGCCGCAGAGGGCTGGCTCAATTTCGATAAGCCGTTGCCAAGCATGTCACCTTAGAGCCAGTTTAGCTCAAAGGAGATCCCGCCTATCCCCCCATCAAGAAGGATAGGGAGGAAAGGAGGAAAATCCACTGGAACTGAGTCATTTTTCAGTGGAGACTGAATCAGTTTGCACCATTTGCATTTATACTGCAATTCTGCAGTGTTGTGATCAGCCACACCTCAAGGTTGTTTCAGAAACCTACCTGGCTCCAGCATAATTCACCTCATATGCTCCGAGAAGCTACCCCGCATGAATGGCGCTATATAAATGCAAGTTGTTGTTGCACATGACTCTGCACTTCAAACCAATTATACTGTTTTTCCACTTTGAAGCAATTGGTGTGAGAAGTGTAATAATAATCTTCGCATTTAATATAGCGCCTTATCACGTCATTGAGACGTCTCAAAGCGCTTGACAGAACATATTGCAAAGTGAATTGACTATATTTCGTGGGCGAAAAACTGAATGATGAACTAGGCACGAGGGTTAAACATTTTTCAAAGTGAGGTGCATTTTGTTCGCTATTATATAAAAAAAATTTAAACGCAACTTTAAAATTTGTAATGAATCCATATGTAGACAAATATATTTGGGCAGAATATTTGATGAATCGATTGCTTGATCTTTTTGTCCCCTTCAGGCACGATTAAAGCTGGTTCCTTACCAGACGGGAGAACTACACATTCTTGGCGTTGTGTACAACCTTGGTATTGTGCAGTCTGCTGCTACACAGGATGGAATAGACTCCAGTGCAGGGATAGCAGGTGAGAACATTTCCCGTTTATTCCAGTGTTTTAGACGTACTTTCTTGGAGTCCTGTAGCGCAGTGGTTAGAACACTCGCCTCGCAATTGAGAGGACCTTGGTTCGATTCCCGGGCATGGCAAAACCTTAGGCAAGTTTCCTTACTCCACACACCGCTATTTACCTAGCAGTAAGTAGGAATCCGGTTGTTAGTCAATTGGTGGATCATTTTTCCGGGGGTGTAATCCCTTTTTCCAAAAAAAATTAAAAATAAATAATAAGCTGGTTATTCAGTCCATGACTGTTTGTGGAATACCGCTGCGCGCAATTGGCTGCTGTGTTTCACCTGAAAAATATACAGTCCATTCACTTTACAGTACATTCTGTGAAGCGCTTTGATACTTATAAGATGTGATCAGGTGCTATATCAAATGCAAGGATTATTATTATGCTTGAACCAGAGCTGATTTTTTTGAAACCTCATATCTCGTTTCCTGCCGCCTTCTATCTTCAAAGCATTGTCTGCTGATGACCTTAACCCATTCATGTTCCTGCTGAAACTTTGAAATCTGGAGGGTAGATTTTGTTTTAATTCTCTCCTCGCCATTCTGTCCAACTTCAACTGATCTAGAATGCTGCAGCTTGCCTTCTCTCCCATTCCCTCCACATACACCCCATTATAGTTCTGAGGAAAGCTCTGCATGCTCGCAAACAAGCCATTTCTTACAAAGCATAAGGTTAGAGGGAGATTTAATAGAGGTGTCCAAAGTATGAGGGGTTTTAATAGAATAAATAAGGAGAAACTGGGTGGGTCGCTAACCAGTGGACACAAATTTAAAATAATTGGCAAAAGCGTTTCTCCCACAAAATACACAGTCATTCCACTTTACAGTATATTCTGTGAAGCGCTTTGAGACTCTTCAACGACGTGATAAGGTCCTAGGTCAAATGCAAGGATTATTATTATAAAAGAACCAGAGGGGAGATGAGAAGAATTTTTTTAATGCAGCGACTTGTTATGATCTGGAATGCACAACCTGAAAGGGTGGTGGAAGCAAATTTGATAGTAGCTTTCAAGAGGGAATTGGATATGTACTTGAAAAGGAGAAATTTGCAGGTCTATGGGGAAAGAGCAGGGGAGTGGGACTAATTGGATAGCTCTTTCAAAGAGCCAGCACAGTCACAATGTGCTAAATGGCCTCCTTCTGTGCTGCAAGAATATATGATTTGATGATTCACTTAAAATCACTTTGGTAAGTGGGTGGGATTCACTGGCTCGGTACCTCAGCTGATCAAGTTTAATATTGCTTTGGAGTCTTCAAACCCCTCCACAGTCGAGCACCAACCTATTTTTGAAATCCTCTTTTACATTCCATCTGGTCTGTTCCTTGCTCCCCACATTCCCTTTACTTGATCATTGATGGTGGGGCCATCATATGCCTTGCCCACGTCCTGCAGAACTAAAAAAAATATAGTCACTCACTCCACGACTATTTGTGGGACATTGTTGTGTGCAATTGGCTGCCGCATTTCACCTGCAAAATATATAGTCAATTCACTTTACAGTATATTCTGTGAAGCGCTTTGAGACATCTAAGCAACGTGATAAGGCGCTATATCAAATGAAAGGATTATTATTATAAGTCTTCCAAAATTGCTTTGCTACCTTTCTACCTCAAAATTCTTCTTACAAACTTAACTCCTGTGCCTTTGGTCATCTCTCATTTCCTGTTCCACATTTGTCAAGCACTTTGCTGCATTTCTTTATGATGAAAGGCACTATGTATTTTCTTTATTTTTATATAAGGTTTTATATGAGACCCCAGTGCATCTTCTGGCTTTGATTGTCCATTGCAGTTTATGTTTTGAAGATTCAAATATTTTAATGCACACATACTTATTAAATGAGTGAAATGTATTTACATTTACGTGGAGTCCTGTAGCTCAGTGGTTAGAGCACTCGCAGGGCGAAACCTTGGGCAAGTTTCCTTACTCCACATGCCTGATAATAATCCCTCAAGGAAATAAATAAACAAAATAACAATTTGGTCACTCAATCCATGACTGTTTGTGGGACACTGCTTTGTGCCATTGGCTGCCAAGTTTCGCCCACAAATATATAGTTGATTCACTTTACAGTCTATTCTGTGAAGCGCTTTGAGACGTTTAGAAGACGTGAGAAGTGCTATATCAAATGCAAGGATTATTTTATTATTATTACATTTCACTTAGTTGTTTAAATTTTGTTGCTTCTGTAGAAATACTTGTCCTTTTTTAAACTTCTTATAAGCTGTCAGCCTGGCTCAGGTAGCACTCTCGCCTCTGATTCAGAAGGTTGTGGTTAAATACTCACGTTGGGACTTGTAATCACATAGTCTTAAGCTGACAGTCCAATGCAATGCTGGAAATGTGTTGGATTGTTGAGGTGTCGTACTTCGAATGAGACATTAAACCAAGGCCCGTCTGCCTGTTCAGGTGGACATTAAAGATCCCATGGCACCATTCAAAAAGAGAAGGATGTTTATCCTGGTGTACTGGCCAAAAATCACCTAAATAAAATTGTTCACTCATTCCATGGCTGTTTGTAGGAAACTGGCTGCCGGGTTTTGCCCACAAAACAGTCAATCCACTTTACAATATATCCTATGAAGTGCTTTGAGACGTCTCAACGACGTGACAAAGCACTATATCAAATGCAAGGAATATTATTATTAAAGCTGGAGTCGCAATGCTTAAAGAGCTGGCTTGAAGCAAGAACCATTGTTTGAAAGTCTGTTTATTTGTGAAGGATGTGTTATATATATTTGGTGGTTTCCCTATTTAAATCCTGTTTTCACAGCCACCAATCTCCATGCCACCAACATCCACGCAGGAAAGTCAGGAAGCAAACAGCAAACCCTCCAACAGGGCAGCACAGTAGATCAGCTGGAGTACCTCCATGGGCTAAACTGGACAGAGGGTCAGTGAGTGGGGGAGGGAGAGGTGTGGCGGGCTTTCATGGTGGTGATTTCATTGATTTAATCTGTCCTTTCTCTGCTCATGTGCTCTTGAGCACTTCACACCTCCGTAGCTTTCTTTCATAGGCTCTGGATACCAACACTATATCTGTTCACGTTGTGCTTGATCCTAATCTCACTCCAGTAATCTATCAGATAATGTACATGCTTCATAAATATCTTCTTGGCTATATTCTTAGTGTGGTAGTTTGCCATTGTACTTTCTTTTACAGTGTGATCAGAAATGATCAGTAGCTGCAATTGTGCTGTCAGATTCAGGCAATGAAATTATTGTGGAAATTGGACATGTTGGGGTTGAGAACATAGCATTCGCAAACCAGAAATCGCCACAACTTCTTTTTTGGGTCTGAAATTGGCCCCCATTTGATGCCAAATTTGCAAAGGTCCATTTAGAGCCAGTGTTTTTCTTCTGACCTTTGTCACTTTTACTTGGCTGAGGAATTGCCCTGAAAAGCCAAAGGCTTGGGAATTCTTGGTTCACGAATGCTCCATACTCAACTTGAAAATTATCTGATAATAATGAGTCATCGATACAACAATAACTGGAGTGTTTATCCTCCTGGGGGGCGGTGGGGGTGTGGGGAAGTAAGCGGGGTCTCCTTGGAGCTGAACTGGCTCGAAGGTGACCTGCCTGGCAACGGAATGTCAGAACCGAGCCAGTCCTCTGTAGCAGTCTCGGTAGTCCGGTTCCTGACCCAGGCGGGTCTGCAGTACTCCAGGGCACTGCTGATGATAGCTACAGCTATCATCCCGGCTAACTAACATGACGTGGAAGGGCAGACCACTCACTGGGGGATAGGGAATTCTCCCACTCAGCTCCTGTTAAGCCTGCAAACCAAAGCCCTAACGGCTTGGGTGGTCCGAGCTAGAAAGCTTCCAAGGCAAGCTATGCAGTTTATATTATATTAGAACCTCACCTTTTGACACCTCGCTGGTCGGTCCCATTTGAAAAAAGTGAACAGTATTCAAATCTCATTAAAGGAATCTCACTCATTGGGGAAAATTATGTGATTTTCATTGAGATCGGTTTTGCAAATCTGAAACCTGTTGAGGTTGACCCATCCATGAAAGCTGCCCTTGCTTCTTCCATTCAGTAAGATAAGGAGTGGGGGAAAAAAAGTCTAAATTGGTTTGCTAAATTTCCTTTCTCCTAGAAAAAGCTACACACGTTAATCATGTGATGTGATAATGCAAATGGGGCATTTACAGGCGTTTTAGATGTTTGACGGTTTCTGTTTGCTGGTAATGATCAGTGAGCCTTGCTTGTGCCAGCAATACTCTACTTCTGGTGCATTTATTGTTTACTCTGATTTTGCTTTGGACGGTCTCTAGTCCGGTTCCTGAGCCAGGCGGGTCCGCAGTATTCCAGGGCTGCTGATGACAGCACAGCCCAGTCTGGCTCATTTGTAGGACTTGGAAGGGAAGATAAGTCAATGGGGGCAGGGACTCTTCCCACTCAGCACCTGTTAACCCTGCAAACCAAAGCCCTAACGGGTCGGGTTGTCCTAGCTGGACAAGCAGCAGGAAAGTTTGCCAGACAGTGCTATCAATGATGAGCTGTGTAGTTTTAGCTGGTTAGACTCCAGCGTTACCCAAACGCACACTCTGGGGTCCCCAAGCCTTGGCTCTCTCCAGCCTGCGCCTAATGCTTCCAGAATTAGGTAATTAGGATGTGTCCCTCCAGGGAGAGAGAGCGCATTCCATTCCATCAATCTATCTCTGGGATTTCCGTGTGTAGGTGGGAGGCGTGGAATTCTCAGTTTGATTTGGATACACTTAAGCACCGTGATGGGTTTCCACATGTGTCAGATACCCGGCTGACAAATAAATATATTGATCTGAAATTTGTTTTGCAAAGTTAACTTGAAATCAGAGTGGGCAAATTATATCTCCTAATGAAGCTTCGAATCAGTTCCATTGTCTTGTCTCCTTAAATATCTCACGAGCGTGATTATGCAAACCAATTATTATTATTTATTTATTATTTTCCCAATCATCATTTTGCTAAATGCATTTTTCTCTTTCCACTTCACTCCAAATTCACTTCATTCTATTTAACACACCAATTCACGGCTCCAACATTACTCGGTTTCAGGTAAATTATCTCCTGCAATATCAGTACGAGGCCGACAAGACTTGGAAATCCAGGGGCCGAGACTCAATAGCACTAAAGAAGAAAAAACCTCTGTCAAATATGGACCTGATCGACGTCTGGATCCTATCATCACAGAGATAATGCCCTTGTTAGAGGTAAAGTGTTTTTCATGCTGTTGATCAAACCCACAAGTTGCAATGGCTCCAAGCGCTTTACAGGATATACTATAAAGTAGTTTGACTGTGTATTTTGATTGTGCACTGAAGGTGAAGACCGTATTGTTTTATACAGCTCTTTCTGCTCTGTGCGCAGGTATTCTTCCTTAATTTCCCCACTGGACTGCTTTGTGGGGAAATGAGAAAAGCTTACGTGGAATTTGTGAATGTAAGTAAATGTCCGCTCACTGGATTGAAGGTTGTTTGCAAAGACCCAGCTTTCTTTTCCTTCGGAAGTAAAGCAGCTGTGCTGACACCATTAAGTCCATCGGCCTCGGAAAACTGTAGCGCCTACAAGACTGTGGTGACTGACTGTGCGTGCATGTCTTCTGCTCCGACCACATCGGTTTCCCCTGCGGATTTTGGCATTGATTCGAAGAAGCCACCTTGGGTGATCGATGTGCCACTACCTGACTCTGTTTTGTTACCCGGAGCTTCTGTGCAGCTCCCTATGTGGTTGCGTGGACCAGATGAAGAGGGAGTTCACGAAATCAACTTCTTGTTTTACTATGAAAGTACAAAACCTCATTCAAAACTGAGGTAAGTTTTCTTTTTATTAAAAATAAAGTTCTGCCCTATGCGCCATATTCCATGCACGTGAACGCAGCATATTCAATTACTAATACATTTGTTGTAAGCCATAAATCACTGTATTACAGTGCTTTAGCATTAGTGCATTGTAGAAAAAANCACATGGGGGTAGCAGAACTTTGTGAACACCCTGCATATTAACAACAACGTGTATTTATATTGTGCACTTCATGTCTCAAAGCCATATTAAATAAGATTAGCAGAGAACATCTGGGTGAAGAGCATTGTGGAAGAGTTGTTTGCTATGTGTAGTCTATTTGAAGAAAGATGGATTTTATAGTCACTAGACGAGCAGAGTTCTGATCCTGTGACACGGGGTGACTGTCGTTCGGGTTGTGTTGTGAGTGATCGTACCAAGGTCTTCCAGCACGCAAGGGATATTGCCGACCGTGAAGGCTGCGACTGATGGTGTGTGAGGCTGACAGTGACCACGAAGCCATCACCAGTGACTGAACCAGTTACATTATTTGCACATTTCAAAACCATTTGGTTGTTACCTGGAGGACCTGATCCAATATCTGGTCACCTGACCTGCTCGGGTGGTGGTGAAGACTGGCTTCAGATCAGTCACGATCTTATAGAATGGCGGAACAGGTTCGAAGGGCTGAATGGCCTATTCCTGTTTCTATGTTTCAGGTCCGCATTGTCCTTTGACAATTTGGGGCCTAGAAGAGTTTGGGGGGGGATTGGGGCTGCAGGGACAACCCTTGTTCCCTAAGTGGAATGTATTTGGTCTAATTCTAATGGTGGGGGTGAGCAGGGCAATGAAAATAAATAAACGTGCTTAGGTTTTCTCGCAATTTGTTTAGAAAGTGAACCAACCAAATATCTTATTCCTTGTTTCACTTTATTTAGCTCAAGAGAATTGCAGAATTTTTACACGTTACTGAATATTTTCAGGTTATTAAACGATGTTATCTACAGGCTGCATAAATCTTCAAGCGGTGTAAAGTTCATTTTACGATGTATTTTAAGTGGAAGTTCATAAGTGAATTACCTGTTTATCTCTCAATAGCCACCGAGTGCTAAGGCACACAGCCATCATATGTACAAGCCGCTCTTTAGGTGTCAGAGCAACAGCATGCAGAAGTAATGCCCTTGAGGCTGAAGGAGAGAGTAACGGTGATAATCTCCTGGTGTTTTTGGATGTAGAAAATATCAATACCGTAAGTTTGTAAATGCCTCGAAAATGTTAAATGAAAAGTTTCAATCCGATGACAAAATCTGGTCTTTGTCATCCGAAAAGTAGCTTCCATAGACATTGAGGTTATTAGGATAAGTGGTGTCAGCATCCATGCCATGCCACGCTCTGCTTTCCCCCACCTCCGCAGCATTGCCCAGCTCCCCCACTCCCTCCCCCTCAAGCCACTGAGACCCTCATTCATGCATTTGTCACATCTAGCCTTGACTATGCCAACCCTGCTTGTCGGCCTTCCCCACTCTTCCCTTCCAAGCGGCAGATTATTTAGAACTCCGCAGCTCTTGTCCTCTCCTGCACTAGACTTTGTGACCCTATCACCCCCACCTTCACCCAGCTTCACTGGCTCCCTATCCCCCAGAGGATTAAGTTGAATCCCTTCAAAGTCCTCCACGGCCTTGCTCCTTTTTACCTCTGTGATCAGCTATTGACCTGTCCAGCCCCTCCGCTCAGCCTTCTCCGGCCTGCGCCGAATCACCTGTCTGGCCTACCCTACTGTCTACGGTCAGGCCTGCAGCCTCTCTGCCCCACCCTTTGAAACTCCATCACACAGTCCCTTTACCTTGCTCCCTCCCTTGCCACCTTCAAAGTATATGTTAAGACCCTCCTCTTCAACCACACCTTCAGTCACCTTTCTACCCTTCCCCTCTCTGCCCTCCACCCCTCCTAATCCCAACCCCTTGCTCGTGTCCAAACCCTGACTTTCCAACACCTTGGGACGTCCTCCCATGTAATTTGTTGTTATTGTTTAATCTCTGGCAGTTTGCCAACACACACGGCTGACTAGAAAAAAATCAGATAAGTACTGTATTCTCTGTAATTGCCTTTTAATTATAACCAATAACATAAGAATTGCTAAACGAAAGAAGACCAAGGTCCGTCCAGTTCACCTTCTACCAACCTGGCAATTACATGCACATGTTATGTCCCAAACTATATACTGTACACTATGTACTACTATTACTGATAATAGATTTATAATTCCTTTGACTACTTTAACTTATTTAGACGTTTATAGTGGGTGCATTCTTACTTGCATTCCAATGCAGTCAGTTTGATGGTGATATAACATTTATGCACTGGGCTCATGTGGCGGTTTCTGGGTTTTACTAACTTTCGTTTTCTGATAATATCTGCTTTATCTAAAGGCAGTGAATAACTTCTTGCAAGGAAAAGATAACTGGTGTCTGTTTCTTTGGCAGTTTAATTTGGAGAAAAAATAATTGTTTTTATGAACTAAACTTATCATTTTGCCAAATAGTTTCTTCTCTTGTTTGAAGGGAGGGCATAAGAAAATAGTCTGTATTCTGTCAGAAAAATGAAGCTGGGGACATCCATTTATGGTTGAAAACATTGATTGGAAATGTGATTTTAAAAAAAAACTTTTATTTTAAGGCAGAATTTTAGGGAATTTAACCACGTTTAATTTATTTGGTGTGTTTCTGCTTTGATAGAATGTAGGTATATTAACAGAGGGGTTTTAATCTTACAGAGTGAAGCTGGTGTAAAGGAATTCTATATCATTCAGGTATCCAGTGGTAGCAAGCATTGGAAGCTTCAGAAATGCATAAATCCTGCCGAAGATAAAGGTTTGACTTGTGGTTTTCATTGTCCGCTTCAGTTATTTTGTATTTGTGAGCATTTCATTCCTCCTTTTTTTTTGGACTGTCTTAAGTGTAAATTCAGTTCGGAATGGTTCAACCTGCGGCCCGCGGGCCACATCCGGCCCGTAAACCATTCCCAAATTCACTGTCCACCGAGCAAATAGATGCGACACGCAGGCCCCGAGCTATCAGGAGACGGTCACCGGGGGGGCTCAGGCTCTGCCCGGTAACGGGACCGGCCAACCCGAGAGAATATTGCTTATAATAATAATAATAATAATAATAATAATCCTTGCATTTGATATAGCGCTTTTCACGTCGGGAGGACGTCCCAAAGCGCTTCACAGAACACACTGTAAAGTGAATCGACTGTATATTTGTGGGCGAACGCGGCAGCCAATTGCGCACAACAATGTCCCACAAACAGTCGTAGATTGAAAAATGACCAATTTAATTATTGTTTTTGGTTTTTTGGAGGGATTATTATTAGGCTCTGTGTGGAGTAAGGAAACTTGCCCAAGGTTTCGCCCTCTGCCTGGAATTGAACTCAGGTCTCTCACTTGCAAAGCGAGTGCTCTAACCACTGAGCTACAGGACTCCACTATACTCCGTTATACAACCCCGGCCTCAGCATCCGGCCCTCAGCAGCCAGAAGGGTGGACACCCCTGGTTTAGACGATGAAGAAAAACACCAGTTAATTTAAAGAAAATCTGCTCTTAATTTGTTTTTACCAAAAAANTTTCATGTACGAGATGGGGTATCTGAAGGAGTTTAGCCAGGAGGTTGGAATTGAGGAAGGTTTGTAGTTTATGGATGATGTTGTTGTGGCAGAGTTAACTCAAAGACAACAACAACTTGCATTTATACAGTGCCCTTCACGCAGGGCGGTGTCCCAGAGCATGGAGCATGACACCGAGCCGGGGGAGGTGACTGTAGGCACGGTAGAAGACAAAGGCCTTCATGCGCGACCTGAAGATGGGGCAGGAGGGGGCAAGGTAGAGGGAGAGTCTTCCAGCATTTCAGGGAGCAGTGGCTGAAACATGGCCACCGATGATGGAACTGAGGGTACGATGGACAAGCAGGAGGCCGGAGCCAATCAATTGGAGGCAGCGGGTAGTGGGTTGGGGGTTAAGCAGGTCGGAGAGGTAGGAAGGTACCAGGGCTTGAAGGGATTTGGAGATGATTACATATTTACTTCCTGGTATAATTTGCTTTTATTGTTTCAGATGGAAAGCTCAATAGTAGAGAAAAGGCAAAGTTAATCTTTAAAGCAACCAGATGTCAAAATTCAGAAGGTGAGATGAATTTTGAGTGTTTGCATTATGCTAGCTACAGTCTAGCATTTAACATTATCTATACAAATTGAGTCAATCATGCTAATCTTTTCCACTTTTTTAGCTACTTCATGTACAGGTGGAAAGTATATATTTGCAGATATCGTTCTGGGAAACGAACAGGTAAGCAAGCCTGCAATTCATTTACATGTAATTACTTACAAGGCACGACCATCGGTGGTCAGGCCTTCAGCCTCTCTGCCCCCGCCCTTTGAACTCTATCCCACACTCCCTTCATCTCGCCCCTTCCCTTGCTTCCTTCAAGGCTGTCTCAAGATCCTCCTCTTCGACTGGGCTTTCGTTCGCCTTCCTACCCCTACCCTTTCTGCCCTCCACCCCTCTTGACTCTAAACCCCAGTTTGGGAACAAATCCTTGACTGTCCAGGGCGTTGGAACATCCTCCCGACATGAAAGGCGCTATACAAATGTAATTTAGCATTGTTATGTAAATCGCTCTTACTTGTTGAATTCGTGCCCTGCAAATTATTGCTGTGGGCAAAACGGGTGCCATATTCACCCACAAAAATACAGTCACTGAACTTTACAGTGAATCCTGCGAAGCACTTTGAGACATCCTCCCAATGTGTAAGGCACTGTGGGAAATGCAATAATTATTATTCACTTCCTTAAAGAAATGAGGGTCGTGTAGCGTAGCGGTTAGAGCACTCGCCTCCCAAGCGAGAGGACCTGGGTTTGATTCCCGGGCGTGCAAGTATTCTTACTCCACACGCTTCTGTCTATCTAGCAGTAAGTAGGAACCCAGTCATCAGTCGATTAGAGGATCACTTTCCTGTGGTTCAAATAAATAAATCCCTTTAAATGAATAAATAAATTTAGTCACCCAGTCCGCGACTGTTTGGGACGCTGTTGTACTCATTTGGCTGCTGCGTTTCGCCCACAAAATATACAGAAAATTCACTTTACTGTATATTCTGTGATGCGTTTTGAGACGTCTCGAAGACATGATAAGGCACTATATCAAACGTAGGGATTATTATTATGATTCAGGAAATGATCTGCTGATTCAGTTCTGGGGATGTTTGACTTAAAGTTGCAATGCCCTGAAAAAATCGGTTACACAGTTGTAAATGTCAGTTACTACAGAATTAGATAAAAATACAAGTAGTTTTGATGAAAACATTTCCAAAGGAACATTTTAACTAATCCATCGGTCTGATGCCTCTTTAACAGTTATAAATATTTTGTCATAAGCTTTGTTCAGTTTTGAATAATGTTGTGGATGTGGATTCAAAAAAAAATTTGTCACTCAATCCACGACTGTTTGTAGGACACGGCTGTACGCAATTGGCTGCCACGTTTCGCCCAAAAAATACAGTCCATTCACTTTACAGTATATATATTTTGTGAGGTGCTTTGAGACGTCTCAACGATGAGAGGTGGCACTGTATCAAATGCAAGGATTATTTATTATTATAGTATGATTTTTGAAATTTCTATTTAAATGTTCCTAAAGGGTGGGTGCTGGGCTGTAGAGTGAGCAACTGACCGTTTGCCGTTGTAATACAGTCACTACACTTTGCAGTAAATCCTTCGAATCACTTTGAGACGATTGTCCTCCTGATGTGAAAGGCGATATATCAAATCTGATGATGGTGATATGATTTCCTCTTAATCTCTGGATTCAAATTCATTCCAGACCAAATTGAATAATGATTACATTGAAGTTGGATGAAATTAGTTTGTCCCGTCCCAACTCAGCTCTGAGTTATTTAATACTAAATTGCCAGGCACACCGAGTTCAGAAGGCTGCACGTGTGAGCAGGACGTTTGTGTTGTTGTGATGTCTCAGTAATCTTGATTTTAGTGCAGATTATTGTGATAATACAGTGGAATCTGGTTTAGCGGGACGCATTGGGGCAGGGAGTTTTATCCGATGTACCCGGCGTCCGGTAACCGGAATTCTTACCTTTCTCTTCTCTTCCCACTGTCTCCTCTACTGAAAGCCTCTTCCCTCCCATTGACGTTCCCATTGGGAAGGGAAGGGGACCAATTAGCTAATTGCTTGCCTCCCCATCCACCGGATGCAGTCACTGCTCCCCAAGAGCTGCTTGTGAATGGCTGGAGTCCACTGTCAATCGCAACCTGACTCCGTTCCAAGGCGCTGGACAAAGGCGTGAGTTAGTACATTCAACAGCGACCAGCGCAGCATTTTGTCCAGATTAACCAGATTTTCATCCGAATTAACAGGCATATTTAAAACGGGTAAGAAAATAAATGAATTGGGACCGGGCATTGTATCCGATTTACCCGGCGTCCGGGGTTAACTGCCGTCCGGCTAAAATGGATTCTACTGTATATACAATAGACACACACGTATGAATTAGATATTTTAAGAAGCTGATGCAAATCGTAAAGCGTTTTTGCTTTGTTTTTTTGCAGATTATTAGTGCAACCACTCCTTGTGCAGATTTCTTCTTTCAAACCTGTTGTGCCACTCGATCTAAGAAGGTCTTGCCACAGCCAACTATGGGACATGGGAGACCAAAAATTGGCGATGCTAACAAATCGGTCCAGAAGTGTAGTGAAGTGGATCTCAATATTATAGTGTTATGGAAGGTTGGTTTAACCCATTCATGCATCTTACACACCGTGTGGATGAACTTTTCCCTTGAAACCCGATTCTCTGGAGATCAATGGATTTATTTGTGGAGTCCCGTAGCGTAGTGGTTCAAGCTCTCGCCTCGCAAACGAGAGGACCCGGGTTCGATCCCCGGCCAGAGCAAAACCTTAGGCAAGTTTCCTTACTCCACACGTCTCTGTTTATCTGGCAGTAAGTAGGAACCTGGCAGTTAGTCAATTAGAGGATCATTTTCTGGGACTAATAATCCCTCAAAAAAAAATTAGGTCACTCAATCCATGACTGTTTGTGGGACACTGCTGTGCGCAATTGGCTGCTGCGTTTTGCCCAGAAAATACAGTCAGTTCCACTTTACAGTATATTCTGTGAAGAGCTTTGAGACATCTCGAAGACGTGATAAGGCACTATATCAAATGCAAGGATTCTTCTTATTAAAAACAACATAGGTTTTCATTCAGTATAGATTAATATTTAGTTTCCAGGAAGGGATTCACGCACTAAAAGTATAAAGAGATGTTTGGAATTGGAGAAAAGCTTTTATAGCCAATCTGACCCAAATAAATTCTAACATTTGAGTCGAGCAAATTTACAGACATATTACATTAGATCAGAATGCAATCAAAAAAGCACGCCAGTCTGAAGTTGTTAACCTATTCAAATCCGCACTAATGTTCTTATAATCATGTCTTTTGTAGGCATATGTGGTTGAGGACAACAAACAACTTATTTTAGAAGGTCAACTTCATGTTACTCTAGAAACCATTGGAAAAGAAGCTTGTTCGTTACCTCCAGTGCAGGTAATGTACCGATGAAATTCATCTTTAAACAGCTTAAATCCACTTCACGTGGCTTCAACAAGGAACCGCATTTATATAGCACCATTCTTGTCGGGATGCTGTGTGAAAGCACGTCATACAACTGACTGACGAAGGGGCTAAATTGGAAGGGATGGGGGGGAGGGGAAAGCATCATTGAAGTATTAGCTCCTTTGAAGCGAGAGAGACTTTGGGACTGTTTAGCAGAGTGGGTCAGGGTGGCTGAAGGCCATGTGGACCAGGCGGTGCATGTGAAAAGTTTTCGGAGTGAGGGGAGCGGCAGGTGTAATAGGGTCACAGAAGATTTCAGAGGTAGGGTGGGGTGAGGGCATTGGAGGTTGAGGTATTGAATCCTATCTGCTGTGGAATGGAGGGAATCCTCGGAGCCAAGTGAGAGCAGGTGTAATGAGCTTACAGAGCCTGGTGAAGGCGAGAACACCTGTGCATCAAATGCAGAATGTTGCACTCCTGCCTTTGAGCTCATTACCGTTACTCTTTCCCATTTACATTTGCTCTATTGGAACAATAGCTTACTTGAAGGAGTGGGAGTGATGAATTGTTGATGGAGAGTGTGCCTTTTCTGTGTTTTTTTTTAACCTTCCAGGAAGCACAGGAAATGGTTCTGTTGAAATTCATACGTCCCGAGCAGCCAGCTCTGCATGTAAGACCGAGCATGGAACAGCTCTCACACCTCATTAAGATCAGCCTCCACTACTCTGAATCCTATGATCATCCGTTTCAACAGAAAAGGTTTGTAAGTTAGTTTATGATTGATTGGAGTCCTGTAGTGTACTTAGCTCGCTCGCCTCGCAAGCGAGAGGAGATGATACCCATTGGGTCTATTTTGACTTTAGAAGCTCTTAATCCTTGGTCTCTCTTAAACTCCGTTCATTGACTTTGCTCTCCTCTGTTCTACAGTTTGTGTTTGGTACCAGTTTCCCTCGTTCTTTTTAACTGCTGTCAGACTGATGTGGATGTTATTATTGATGTACGGCACAAGACCACAAGGTAAAGCGGTTATTCAAGCTCTTCAGTTTTATTGTTTAATGGCTGTTATGGTATTATCATCTTCAAATCCCTTCAAACCTCAGCATCTCCCACCTCTCTGACCTGCTTTCTCCCCAATGCATGACCCGCTGCCTCCACTCGACTGGCTCCGGCCTCTGCTTGTCCCTCGTGCCTCTATTCCACCATCGCGCTTTCAGCCACTACGCCCCGAAACTCTGGAACACTCTCCCTTAATCCCTCTGCCTTGCCCCTTCCCTCCCCATCTTCAGGTCATGACTGAAGACGTTCCTCTTCAACCGTGCATACGGTCACCTCCCCCTCCCTCAGCGACGTGCTCCGCCACTGTCAAGCGCTCTGCGAGACTATGAGTGAGGGGCGCTATATGAATGCAAGTTGTTGTTGTTTGTATAGTTTAACATTAACATAGTTTTGCTGAGAATTAACAATTTTTTATTAACAAAATCAGTGCTGAGAGCTTTAAACAGTGTAGGACTTATCAAAACTTCATTTGTAGTATTGATACAAAACACAAAAAAGCAGGTTCTTTATTGATGGTATATGGAGATTTTTTAAAGACTAATATTTTAGATGGATAATATTAACAATAATGCTTGGATTTGATATAGTGCCTAATCACGCCATTGGGACGTCTCAAAGCGCTTCACAGGATATACTGTAAAGTTTAGTGACTAATAAAATAAAAATGTCTTAAGAATTTTTTTGCTGTAATTTATAGCTGGAAAGATGTGACAAATAAGAAAGCATATACAACAACAACTTATATCACTTCTCTATATTTCTTTTTCTTTCTCTCTTCCAGTCCAGAGACGTTAGATGTTCACGGTTCGTTCATGTGGCTCGGACAGACCCAGTACAAGCTCCTGCTGAAGGGTCAGGAGGTGCACACAGTTCCACTGAAGGCCTGTTTTGTTCACGCTGGCGTCTACAATCTGGGGACACCCCGAGTCTTTGCCAAACTGGTTGACCGGAATGTACAGTGTGAGACTTGCCAGCAGACTTCAACACCAGCCCTCATAATCATTAACAATGTCTGACCTCCCGGCAAATTAATAACCTGCATATCCACTACCAATTTCAGAAAGAATCCTAAATATTGATCATTAATTTTCTTTTGTAGCTATTGTTGAAATTTCCTTGCACTTGCGACAAATTCAGAGCTAATATCACACAATTGTATAGAACAAATATGGGGAGGGGGGGGAGGGGAAGGGGGTAAATGAAAGAACTAAACACAACTTATTTTGTCTTTCGAATAAAAGGCACTCTAGATTCGGATGTGCATATGTAAGATTTTTGAATATATTTATCATTTATCTCTGCTTTATTTCCTTTTTTAAAAAAAATAAAATCCAAGCATTGAATATAGATGTGCAAGTTGGACCATCGTGAGGAATGCAGTTTAAAACTGCCGTGATCTCCTCCAACGCACTGTGTGAATATCTGTGGTTGTCTGAGCGGGTGTAGAGACTGTAATCTTGCCGTTTTTTTCTCTTTACCCCGGTTTTAATATATAATTTAGGAACCCGGTTGTTAGTCGATTGGCGAATCGCTTCTCCAGGGGTAATAATCCTTTCAAAAGAATAATAAAATATAAATAATAATTTGGCCACTCAATCCACAACTCTTTGTGGGGACGCTGCTTTGCGCAATTGGCGCCTGCGTTTCGCCCACAAAATACACAGTCAATCCACTTTACAGCATATTCTGTGAAGCGCTTTGAGACATCCCAAAGATGTGATAAGGCGCTATTTCAAATGCAAGGATTAGTATTTATCCAGCATTATTTGGTTACTAGTTTTGATCATAAGGTAATCCATTAACTCTGATCACTTTAAAAGGCAAATATTTAGTTTGTACTGATCGGGAGGGGGAGGAGAAGAGAGGAGTGAAACGGGAGAACAAGTTATCCTGTTGACCTTAAACTTGGAGTCCTGTCGAGTATCGGTTAGAGCACTCGCTTCGCGAGCGAGATGTCCTGGTTTCAATTCCCAGGCAGGGTGAAACGGTCAAGTTTCCTTACTCCACACGCCTCTGTATACCTAACAGTAACTAGGCACCCGGTTGTTAGTCAATTGGCGATCTCTCTTCCAGGGGTAAAAATCCCTTCAGAAATAATAATAATTCGTTCATGCAATCCACAACTGTTTGTTGGACGCTGCTGTGCGCAATTGGCTGCTGTATTTCGCCCACAAAATACAGTCAATTCACTTTACAGTATATTCTGTGAAGTGCTTTGAGACATCACAAAGACGTGATAAGGCACTATATCAAATACAAGGATTATTATTATTACTAAATCAAAAGAAGACCGTCTGAGTAGTTTGTAGCAAATCTCCCATCGCATGAGCTAACCACTCGTTGCTTAAAATGTTCCAAAGCAAAGTCTTTTCACTTTAAAACGTTGAAATATAAAATTAAGTTACTTGTAAGACTGAACCAATATGTCCTTTTGCATTACTGAATTTCACTCTGTATCTCAGGTTTAAAAGAAAAAGTTCAGTATATGAAACGTACTTGTTTATTATTTGGTCTCTCCTTTGATCCATTTCAGTTACAATTTTTTTTCCTCCCGCAACCACAGGATTTTAATGCAAGTCGGACTCAGACCCAGCTCGTGGCATTATAGTAGAACTTTGCAAATTCAATGTGTTATTTAATGTATCGACAAACGTCAAATGAAAACAAATGTCTTTTCAAGAAATGATGTATTATATTTATAGCCACTGTCTGTAAATAGAATAAAAACATAACCTACACATCACTGAGTTTTGGTGCCTGGTGTATGTAACACTGTACACGGCTTGTACCTTGGATACAACTTAAATAACGTTATACAAAAAAGAGAAGGGAGTTTCTCTCTCCCGCCGTCTTGGCCAACAAATCCCCCCCCTAAATAAAATCAGACACTCACTCTGTGACAGATCACATCACCCACACGCTTCAGCAAACTGGTGAGATGTCATCCACCCCAATTCCAGCAGATGATCTGCTGTATTATGGAGGAACTGGGGGGTAAACAACAACAACTTGTATTTATATGGCGCCTTTCACGCAGGGACGATCGACAAGCGGGGCCAGAGCCAGTCGATTGGAGACGGCAGCTAGTGGTGCGGGGAGAAAGCAGGTCATGAAGGTTCTGACGAAGGACTGTGGACCCGAAACGTTGACTCACTTTCCTTTCTCCATAGATGCTGCCTGACCTGCTGAGTGTTCCCAGCGACTTCTGGTTTTGTTTCAGAAAGTTAAGGACCTGACCGGGATTTGTAAACGAGTGAGAGGATCTTGATATTGATCAGTTCTGATAGGGAGCCAGCGATGCCTGGCGATGACTGGTACAACGGGGGGTACGGAGTCTGAGATGGGTGGGTGGGAGTGGCACTATTCGAAATAGGTTCGACAACGACTTGTGTTTATAAGGCGCCCTACATGCCGGACAGCGTCTCGGAGCGCTTAAACAGTTTCAATGAGATTCTGGAACAGCTTAAACTTAGGGAATCATCAAATCAACAGTGATGAAGGCTATATCTAAAGAAAAGTAAGTCATGTATCGTCACTAGATGGCAGCCCAAGAGTGAGAATCTCCATCCTCTTGCCTTGACGGGTTTCTTTCAACTGGTAACAGCCATCAATGTGAGCTGCCCTATTCGGATTCATGATTTTATTCAGTCTCGGGATCTTTTTGGCGTTTGAAATTCATGCTCGTCGGTCTGGTGCACTCTCTCGCGTCTTGAGTCAGAAGGTTGTGGGTTCAAGCCCCACATCGGGGCTTGGAATCACATAGTCTAAGCTGACACTCCAATGCAGTGCTGGGGGTGGAGGTTGCATTATCGGAGGTGTCCTTTTGATGAGATGTTTAATCAGATGAGACATTAAATCAAGGTCCGGTCTGCCTGTTCAGGTGAGTGTTAAAGATCCCATGGGACTATTCAAAAAGAGAAAGGGGATTCTCCGGGTGTCCTGACGAACAATCCCCAAGATAAAATTGGTTACTCGCTCTATCACTGTTTGTGGGACCTTGCTGTGTGCAACTGGCTGCCACATTCTGCCATAAAAATACATTGTCAATGCACTTTATATATCCTGCAAAGCGCTTTGAGGCATCTCAACAATGTGATAAGCCTCTCTATAAAATGCAGTGATTATTATTATTAGACTTACACAAACAACAAGAACTTGCACGTATATGGCATCCTTCATCAAGGGTAATATCTTGGATTGCTGACATGTAAAATGCTAGCACAATTGCACGCAGCAATGTCGCACAAACAGCCATGGTGTAAGTGACCAATTTTATTTGGGGGATTATTGGGCAGGAAACCGGGAGGAACTCCCTCATCTTTTTAGAAAAGTGCCATGGGATCTTTAAGGTTCATCCACCTGAACAGGCAGACGAGACCTTGGTTTTATGTCTCCCGAGAGGGAGAGGGCACAGGACTAATTAGAAAAGCAGCAAACACAATACAATGACTGCTGTGATCTCGATCTGTTTGAGCCCTGCCTTGTTCTCCACGGTGGTTAGCATAGTACTTAGAAAGGTATTTTGGGAGCTGACAGGGCTGCAAGGTGTGGCATTCCATCAGTGAGAATAGGCTGAAAGATTGCAAGGCTCACTTTCACGTCTGGGTCAAAGGTGGTGGGTTTGATGCTCAAGTTGAAACTTATAATAATAATCCTTGTATTAAAAAACATAAGAAATGCTAGACGGAAAAAGGCCCATCTAGTTCGCCTTTCACCTTCCTGGTGGTCGCATGCACATGTGTCCCAAATTCCCTATGTACTATATCCCATAATGTTATAATAATAATCCTTGCATTTGATATTGCACTTTTCACGTCTTCTCGACGTCCCAAAGCGCTTCACAGAATAGACTATAAAGTGAATTGACTGTATATTTGTGGGCGAACGCGGCAGCCAATTGCGCACAGCGGTGTCCCACAAACAGTCGTGGATTGAAAATGACCAATTTATTATTGTTTTTTTTGGAGGGATTATTATTAGGCTCTGTGTGGAGTAAGGAAACTTGCCCAAGGTTTCGCCTTCTGCCTGGAATTGAACTCAGGTCTCTCGCTTGAAAGCGAGTGCTCTAACCACTGAGCTACAGGACTCCAATATTATTATTATTCCATAATGTTATTTCTTAAAGGACAGGTATCTAATCTGTGTTTGAAAGAATCAACACTTCCTTCTTCAACCGTCTCCCTCGGGAGACTGCTCCACAGGTTCGCTGTTTGCTCACTTAAATAGTGTTTGTGCAGATTCATTCTGAAACCCCCTTCAATCGCAGGCCGTGTCCTCTGGTTTTATTGTTCTGGACAAGTTGAAACATGATCTATATTACTTTGTCCCTTTAGAATCCTAAAGACAGCAATCATGTTGCCTCTTAATCTTCTCTTTTCCAGCGTGAACATGTCCAATTTACTAAGTCCTAGTCCAGTCCCTCCATTCCCTCAATCATTTTGGTTGCCCTCTGTATCTTCTCAATTTTTCCCATATATCCTTTTTGTACAGCAGCGACCAGAACTGTACAAGGTACTCTATTCTCCACTACTCAACAGTATTTGATATAGCGCCTTATCACGTCAAGACGTCTCAAAGCGCTTCACAGAATATACTGTAGAATGAATTGACTATATTTTGTGGGCAAAATCCTGCAGCCAATTATGCCCAGCAGTGTCCCAGTCAAGGATTGCGTGACCACATTTTTTTTAAGGGTCATTACCCCCAGAAAGCGATCCGCCACTCAACTAACAACTGGGTTCCTACTTACTGCGAGATACACAGGCGTGCGGAGTAAGGAAACTTGCCTAAGGTTTTGCCCTGCCCGGGAATCGAACTCGGTTCCTCTCGCTTTTAAGCTTTTAATACTTTTTTAAAAAAAAAATTTGGCTCACACACTTTACGACCGTTTATGGGACACTTGAGTTGTGCAATTGGCTGCCGCGTTTCACCACCCGAAAATGTAGTCGATTTCTGGTTATAGTATATTCTGTGAAGCGTTTTGAAATGAGTCAACGAGGTGATAAGGTGCTACGTCGAATGCAAGGAATAAGAAAAAGTAGCATAACACTTGTTGTTTGTCGTTGCTCTAGTTTAAGCGTTCCGAGGTGCCATCCATGATGAGTTGGTGCTGTATAAATGCAAGTTGTTGTTCATTGCTTCCTGTGAAATATACAGCTTTCTGACTGAGAGACACTTGAAACCAGAGCATGGACAACCAAAGGCCATTTGACAGATGTCAAACCTTAGCTCCCAAACAAACAAAATACTGGGACCGCAGTAAATAATTCATTGCCAGAAGCGTTCCTCACCTGCTCTTTGTGTGAATTATTTTTGGGAATGCGATATATACAGCTGTAGGGAAAGAATTAGCATTTTTGAATAAAGAACATTTCCTTACAGACGGAATGCAACTGCACTTGGTTTTATTTTGCTGCACTTGGGTTTTTAGTTGTTAGCGCCTTCACCTCGCAAGCGAGAGGACCCGGGTTCAATTCCTGGGACTTTACACCAGTTTTTCTTCATTATCTTACTGTATCTTCGTTGTGGAGCCCTGTAGTGTATTGGTTAGAGCACTCGTCTCGCAAGCAAGAGGACCCGGGTTCGATTCCTGGGCAGGGCCAAACCTCAGGCAAGTTACTTTACTCCACACGCTTCTGTTTACCTAGTGGTAAGTAAGAACCCGGTTGTTAGTTGATTGGTGGATCGCTTTTCCCAGGGTAATAATCCCTCCAAAAAAAATGTGTTCACTGCATCCACGACTGTCTGTGGGACGCTGCTGTGCTCAGTTGGCTGCCGCGTTTTGTCCACAAAATATACAGTCAATTCACTTTACAATATATTCTGTGAAGTGCTTAGTCTCTTGTGACTGTGTCAGTTTTTACCTGAATCTCTCCACCTTTCCCCCGCCTGCCCTGCTTTCAGATCACACCGGAAGA